AACTCTACCTTATATTAACGCCAAAATGATGAAAGCCTTGAAAGGTACAAATAAAAGCAAAGTAAATTTATGAACCCTCTATATTTTGTTGGTCTGTAGGGATGGTCAAGTTGAAGCACGGGCGTTGACGACCAATGCCTCGCCATACAAACTCACATCATATCCATGTTCTTCCAAGTATGCTTTGAACTTGGCATCCTCTGTCTCTAGCTCTCGAGACATATCTGGGATGAGGAACCAGGCAACCAAACCACCTACCACAGTGAAGGCCGCACCGATTAGGAAAACTGCTTGCTGGCCTTTGGCGGTGGTATCGAAGGAGTTTTGGATCGGGGTGAAGACTTCTGTCCCGATAGATGCCCCAGCCTTGCCAACTGCGGCTGCAAATCCGAGGAAATGACCGCGCAGAGGTGTTGGGAATGACTCCGAAGCACAGAGGAACGTCGAGACCCCAGGGCCCATTTCTCCCAGTGCTTGAAAAATGCCGTACATGACAATAAAAAGTGGGAAGACACTTTGAATAGGTCGGAGTGCAGCACCCAGAATAAATCCCCATATAGCCCAGATCATGAACCCTAGGGTCATGGTTTGTTTGCGGCCGATTCGATCCATCAGGATACCACCAAGCAAGCATCCTGGAAGATAGAAACAGTTGATTACGGTCTGGAAAATTTACTGTTAGTTTAGCCACCTGAAATATGGTGTGATGGAGGCCTACCCCGTATCCGATATTCTGAACCGTGGTGTTGTCGGGGTTCAGCTGCTCAATGATAGTGGATGAGAACAGACCAAATGGATATGTGACAAAGTCGTAGCAGAACCAAGCCAAGGCTAGAAACATCGATGTTAGCCAAACCCACCGCACAATCAAACCAAGCTGAACGACTCACATGTTCCAAGCATGGGTTTCCAGTAGCGACGTAGTACTAGCCCGTAAGGATACTGCGACTTGATAGCATGCTTTTGGTATTGAGTAGAGTTGACCATCCGAACGCGGAAGAAACAGATTGACAGTGGCAACTGGTCCCGGTGTCAGACTAGCTAGCTAGTAGCTTTATGAGGCAAAAGACTTACCACAATACCCAGACCGAATGTAATGCGCCAGACCCCTTCAGAGTTTTGTTGGCTGTAGCACGCAAGAACAATAAGAGCAACCAAACCAGCTCCAACAAATCCCTATCACGAAGTTAGCAGAATCCTCGTCGACGTCATGTTAGTACTGACTAGATCTATAGCAAAATCGGTGGTTAGTGCGACCAAGAAACCACGTCGCTTCCGGAGATGAACTGTCTCGTCGGCGGCCTCAGTGGCACTGGTTGCGCAGACAGGATATTCCCCTCCAGCACCAAACCCTGCAATGCCTCGTGCAACAATCATCATCCAAAACATCCTTATTGCGGTGTTAGTGATAGGTCAATCAAAAAGCCCGCAGTGCTTGAATAAGCATACCCTAGCTGCGATTTTCCATGAGAGGCAGTTGCTAGCACCACTCCGATAATAAGAAACGCCGTTGCGGCGACAATACCAGTCCGACGGCCAATACGGTCAATCAGAACCCCGAAGAACAGCATGCCAAATATCTCACCGATGAGATATGAGTTTGATAGGCGCGACTTTATAGTTGAAGACATTCCATCCATGTAGCTGGACTCATCAGTAAACCTGGTCAGAATTATTTCGGAAATAGAGCTACTCACAGGACTGAGAATAAAGGTTCCATATAGCCAACTGCCATGCGGTTAGTTCAGGAAAGGAAAAGACAACATTTGTAGGTACAAATCACGTACTGATTTGAGCGTTGTATCCATCACTGAACAAGGCCAATCCAGAAATAACTACATTGAGCACACCTGAGCGTTTCTTCTCGGGTTCCCGTTGCTCGATATCCCAGTCGGATTGCGAGACTTGATCCTTGGGATCTTCCATCTTCATGGTGGAGTCACTGGGAGATGTAGCCATATTGACAAGAACACTGAAATATCAATGGAGGTTCCCAATGGGAATATATTGATATCTATAGATGCCATCTTCGATGGCTCTAATGAAGATTTACTTTTGAAATTAGCCAATGAGAGCGTGTAATAGACGCACGATAGACTCGGTGGGAAGTGCGAGATAATGTATAACCTGTGGGTCGTACTAAGAAGAGGTCAAAGCTCCCTGGCGCTTTCAGGCACTGAAAAGCTCCACAGTTACGGCAGGTTTTCAAGTGTGGTTTCATGACTTTGACAGTTTCCTCATAAACTTGCATTGGCAGACTCCACATGAGTTCGAAGTCGGATAGGGCATTGCCTGATCGCCAAACCTATCGGAGCTTATCTTTCATCCATGTGCTTGGGCATGTTACATGGATCTATATCTTGTCTCGTTCGAAAAGTACCATCTCGGTGCGAAGGGCGATACATTCGGGCTTTCATTGCAGCGGCCGAATTCTCGATCGATCTACAAAATGCGAGCTCCTGAGCCCCCAACATTTCATGAATGCGTTCTCTTCTGTGTTCCCACTTAAATCTACCCGAAAAGCATGGACAATTTCCATTACTCGCTCTCTGCTGAGCAACTTCAGAGTTTCCACGAGAGTGGATACCTGCTTGTTCGTGGGTTCTTTACTGCTAAGGAATCGGAGCTACTGCGAGAATGGGCGCAGGAAGTCCACGATCTTCCATGCACCACTGAAGTGCCCTGGATGCCCTATCAAGAGGTGAATGCGGAAGGCAAACGCGTGCTATGTCGCACTGAGAACTTTGCCAACTCGCATGCCGGATTTGATAGTTTCCTCCGAGGGCAGCGTGCAACAAGTCTTCTACAACAGCTTGCAGGAGAGGAGATGCTTCTTTTTAAAGAAAAGATCAACTACAAGTTGGCAGGAAGTGGTATGTAGTCTCCACTATATAGCCCTGACTATATACATTGCTCACCTCTCTGATAGGTGGTTTCGATCCCCATATCGATGCCAATGCCTACACCCATGTCAAAAATATCAAGCATTTGACTATTCTTGCGGCAGTCGACAGAATGAATGCAGAAAATGGAGGTTTGGAAGTGGTGGACGGCAGCCACCGCATGGATATTCCTCTCGGTAGCGATCGCTGCATTGCGTCCGATTGGGTTGAAAGCAACGTATGGACACCGGCTGAGCTTGATTCAGGTATGCAAATTCAGGATCTCCCAATACTTCCATTGCGTTTCATTAATAAGAGCAGGTGATATCTTGATTTTTGGCTCGTACCTGGCCCACCGCAGTGGCGCGAATGTTAGCTCCAAGGACCGCCGTGCAATCTATGCAACGTATAACTGTGCCGCCGAAGGTGATCTGCACGACCAGTACTATTCCGACCGTCAAAAGCTCTGGCCTGCAACACACATGCGGGAGAGTGGACAATCCTACGAGGAAGGTCGTGTGCGATATGCCTTTGGGTCCCCTATGTTAACTGTGGACTCGAAGGTCATCCCGGTCTGATCGGTGCGGGCAAGCTGTATGGTATACTTAGTAGCACGTAAAATGTCAATTCCATGCGATTCTAAGATGCTGTAGTAATGATATTGATTAGCCAAAGTACAATCGCTAGAACGTATGTGCCATTGAAATATAATTGTCTGGTCCAGACTTCAGATAAGTGCGGGCCACCGGCATGATCACCGAATACTTTAGTTTAGGTACCTCCAACTGTGCCGGAGATGTAACGGAAGGGCTCTGGCGTACATAAATACATCCTTCTACCTCGCCTCTTTTTCTTCTCTCTTTGTCTACCTAGATATTGTTTCATTCCAACGATTTTCCTATTCAATTCCAACAGTAACTTGGATCATGAATCAACAGCCAGCCAAAGAAAAAGCAGAGGCCTTAATCGGTGCTCTAGAAAAGTACGGCCAAGGTGACTACATTGGGGAGTCAATTAGCCAGTTAGAACATTGTCTACAGGCGGCTCATCAGGCCCATCAAGCGAGTACGTGTCGTTCCTAAGATCTCTCACAGCTACTAACATTATTCTAGATGCTCGTGATGAATTGGTAATTGCAGCTTTATTGCATGACATAGGCCAAATCATTCCGCTAGAATCCACCAAGGAGGCACGCATGAATCTTCGCGAAAGTACGGAAAATGTCGGCCGGGTCGGCCATGAAGCCATTGGGGCATCATACCTTCATTCCCTTGGATTCAGCGAGACAGTGTGTCGCTTAGTAAACAGTCATGTCGCTGCGAAGAGGTATTTGATTTTGCCTGCCTCTTGCGAATAAAGACTCACCTTTTAGGTACCTTACTGCCACTGACCAAGGGTACTACGAATCTCTATCATCTGCCTCGCAGAAATCGCTGGCATTTCAAGGCGGCCCCTTCCGAGGTTCGGACCTTAAGACCTTTGAGGAAGATCCACTTCGAGACGACATGGTTTCACTTCGACTGTGGGATGATGCTGCCAAATTGGAGGGAATTGAGGCCATTACACCCCGTGCTGGGGTATATCTGGACATGATCATTGGGCATTTGCTCTTTGAAACCTGAGTGAAGCAAAATGTATTGGTGGAATTCCACTCTGCATGTCTGTTTATATGTTTGTTTTTAGAAACAGCAGAAATTACGTTCTTTTCCCAAGTCCACGGGTCCAGCGTTGGAGGGTCCACTGTTCAGCGAGTAGTCAACCGAAGCTGCCGCCCTGGTGTGATGTGAACAACAATAAGGACTCTAAGCGCCTTCATAAAATGACACGGGAAAGTTCCAACGGCCTAAGCTAGTATTTATAGGGCTGCATATATATGTATATATATATATATAGATCTGGTGACTTCATTGAAGGTACTTCAAGGTACTTTGTGTGCTAGTAAATAAAAGTGGGGGCCAAGTATCCCGAGGTACCTCACTCCGTCGAGAGGTCAGCCTCAGTTGGGCTTAAGAGGAGCCTATCCACATCAGGCAACGTCATCAAACCTTGGAATTCTCTCGTGATACTCCAACTTTCTCTGTCTTACTTCTTCGCCTCTTTCCCCCCTCAAATCAAATCATGGGTGTAAGTCTTCATTCCTTCAACTCCCGAGAATCCCTCAATCTGATCCATCTTTAGTTTGCTCAGAAAATCGCCGCAGCTCAGAATAATCAGATGGCCAATAGTGGTTCATATGGAGGTGCACCTCCATCAGGGTACACTGGGGGTCCTCCTGCAGCATTGCAGGCTGGTGGATCGGTAAGTCATATGTTCATTGCGCCTTGGCTATGACTCGCAGTTCGACGTCATAAGAAAAAGAAGAAAAAGTGCTAACGTTTTCTCAAGAGTCAACAACAATACCAGGCTTATTCAGGATCCCCAGCCCCCCAGGGATCGGTAAGCCATAATTTTCCTTGACTTTTTGTGTTTTTGTTTTTCCCCCACTTTACCCCTCGGTCATCATTTCTCTGGAACAACCATGTCGGGACCTTACCAAGGATATCCTCCATACGGCGGCTCATCTCAACAGAATTCGTCTCCTTATTCCAGGCCTCCGCCATCCACGCCATACCCCGCATCTCAGCCGCAGGGCTATGGCCGCCCCCTCCACCCCCACCAGGTCAGCCCTATGCATCCGCTAGTTCGCCCTACCCGGGCCAGCAACCGGGACAGCCCTATGCTTCTCCGGGCTCGCCCTACCCAGGACAGCAGGTACAGTCGCCTTATCCTGGTCAACAAGCTTCCCCACAAGCGTACCCTGGACAACAGCAATATCCCGGACAACAGCAATACGGACAACAACCTTACCCTGGACAGCAGCCGTCATATGTACACAATGCCCCTTGCCCTGTATCACTGCCTGTTTTTGTGTCTCCTGTCTTATCTCACTTTTGATGCTTGTTGAGTGCTTGATAGTTGAACAAGAATGCTAACGGAAGATAGAACCAGGCACCACCCTATCCTTCTCAGGGAGCTCCATACCCTGGTGGCCAGGGCCGTCCTGGACCCTCGCCTGGACCACCCAGTGGACCACCACCGGGTCAGTATGGTGCACCCAGCGGACCTCCACCAGGTCAGTATAGTGCACCAAGCGGACCTCCACCAGGCCAGTATAGTGCACCAAGCGGACCTCCACCAGGCCAGTATGGCGCACCAAGCGGACCACCAGGCCAGTACGGCGCACCAAGTGGTCCACCGCCAGGTCAATATGGCGCACCCGGTGGCGCCCCTCAGTCTGGAGCTCCCCCAGCCACCCCGCAACAGGTCGCAGCTTACCACTCGCTTTTGAGTTCCACGATTGAAGAGAAGCGTCTCGGAAGTTTCTACCCCAAAGAGCGACTGGACCGGCTTGTTCAGACGCTTGCCGCTGAAGCACCAGGCAAGCTCAACAAGCTGATTCAGGAATGGGCCGTGCCCATGGAGGTGGCGACCGATGTCATGAAGCTCTCGCTGTTCGACGTGATTCTCTACGTTGATGACAGTGGATCCATCGAATTCGAAGAGAAGGGACTCCGAAAGGATCAACTCAGACAGATTCTCGGTATTGTAGCTACTGCTGCATCGACCTTCGACCAGGACGGTATCTCTGTCCGGTTCATGAACTCCAGCGAGAAGGGTGATGGCATTCGCAACGCAGAGGATGTCGAACGTCTAGTGTCCCGAGTCCGTTTCTCAGGCCTGACCCCCCTGGGCACCAACCTGAAGACCAAGGTCATCGACCCGATGGTCGTTCAACCCGTCCGGGCCAATCGTCTTGAGAAGCCCGTGCTGGTGATCACCATCACTGACGGACAACCTGCTGGCGAGCCCCACGATACCGTGGGTAATACCATTCGCTACGCAGTGGCGGAGACCTCTCAGACCCATTACGGCCCCGGCGCCGTATCCTTCCAGTTCTCGCAAGTGGGAACTGATCAACGGGCTCGCGATTTCTTGTCTTCTCTGGACGAGGACCCTCAGATTGGTCACCTGATTGACTGTACCTCCAGTAAGTTCACGGTTCTACATGAGGTTCATGGTGGATCTAGCTAACGTGTTCTAGACTTTGAGGTTGAGCAGGATGAGATGTCCCGTGCTAACCCACCAGTGCATCTGACTCGCGAGCTTTGGGTAAGTGGTTTTTTTTAACACGTCACATAGTATTGAACTGACTGTCATGTAGTGTGCCAAGCTGATGCTCGGCGCTATTGATTCTTCTTACGACACCAAGGATGAGCGAGACAACCAACGTCGTGCACCTCCACCACAATCGCAAAGCCAGTACGGAGGAGGTTACGGCCAACCTCCCCAGGGCCAAGCTCAGCCTCCGTATGGTGCGCCCCCTGGTGCCCCTCCTGGTGCCCCTCCGAACTACGGTTCCCAGTCCGGCTACCCACAGGGTCAATACCAGCAGTCTCCTCAGCAGCCTCCCTACCAGGGATCGCGTGGATATGGTCAACAGCCAGGATATCCATCACAGCCTGGATCTGGCCAGTATGGTGGACAGCCACGTTATTGAACATGACGTCATAGGTTCCTGAGTTCCAAGGTTTATCACTTTTTTGCCATGTGGATTTGATTGGGGATGTTCTCTCCAGGGCTACTCCCACGTACCTAGGTAGTTTCCCCAATGGTTCGAACCGAATATCATTTTATGTTTCCAATTTTTAAACTGGGCTTTGACAGTTGCCAAGGCTACACTAAAAAAATTAGCCCACGAGTTCGCTAGGTTCGAGGGTGACACACGTATTTTGTGGACTCATAGACTTAGCTACGGTATATCTAAAGCCTTGTGTTATAAGAGAAAAGAAAAATTATATTTCTTGTCTTACATCTGCAATAGGGCTGGGCTCAGGGTCTCGGGGAATGTGAGACTGACCAATAACAACGTAGATAGATCTGGATCCGGACCCATGTGTCGCCCCCAGAAACATCTTTGATTCGGTTCTTAATTTAACCTGGATGGGGCAGTGCCTGGGGAGGCGTAAGCGTTGATGGTTGCATCTTACGCGTTGTCCCTCTACCATGAACGGATATTATTATGGTCTTAGACGTTTTAGACGTTTGGGATTTTCCACTTGCCCACTTGACTCCAATTTTATCATTCTATCTCTGCCTATCATGTATCATTATAGACATCTCTATATCCTCTAATTGTAGGATATCGCCAGTTGGAACACTAGGCCGTTTTGGGTATCATTTCCTCCAAACTTGGTCTTGGCTATTCCTGGTCGCTCTCGGGTTTTTTAGTCTCTTAATCTCTTCTCTTGGCCTCTCTTCCTTTTCTCTCTATAGGACACAATCTTTGCGCCCTTCATTTCTATCCTTGCGTCCGACGGGAGTACTTTCGTTTACTCAACCCTCGCAACACCTTCATTCTACGACAAGGGAACTCGTCTCCCCCGCTGAAAGAACAGCAGGAGAATGACCGTTTAATCAGTTAAATCGAATACTTCGATCTACCCTGAGGGGAAACGCTAGCAGAGGAAGGATCAAAAATATCGGAGGAAAAAAAAAATTTACCGAGATCGTCGGGATCTGTCCCGCGCACTCGTGCCAGGAATTCGACTGTCATGTCCCCCAACGACAAACCGACAGAACCTACAGAGGGCACCCAACCCGACCAGAATGATATCCTCCGACGCCCATCTCTTGTCTCGTCGCGAACGGTCTCCGACTCTGGGCGGCGGATCTCCTCCCAACATGTGCGCTTCTCAACCGATCTCGATCGCGAGTCGGCCGAGGAACAAAGACAGACAAACGGGGACGGACGCCCCAATTCTCGCGGCCTAACCATCGACACGGCGCTGGCGCCCCCGTCTGTTCGACCCGCTCCCTCACCCACCTCTCCCCTCTCGCCTCATAATGCGACCCAAAACGCAACCCTCTCCCCTATTTCCCCGACTGCTGAGTCCGCCGGTCGGTCTCGGTCGCGAAATCGTGGATACTCCCTTCGCCGCAGCATATTTAATAAGACCATCAACTCGACAGAGAAGGATGATGTCGCCCTAGCTGAGCTGGGCGAGGTCAAGGAACCCTCCGATGTGACTCCCACCCAAGCCCCGGCTGCTGAGACGCTCACTGCTGCCGATGAGAAGCATGCTCTCAGTGTCGCGCCGACGGCGACAATCGACTCGACCCATAAAGTTGATGCTTCCCCTTATGTCTCCTCTGTTCCTTCAGAGAAAACCATCAAGGAACAGTTCTCCGTGTCTGTGGCCCAGGATAAATGGCGCCAGAAAAAGGCGACAACCGCAGTGGCTGTTGCGCGTTTCGAGACTGTTATGACGTCTATCCAGAAATTTATTTTGCGCATCAAGGATATTTCTCCTACTAAGGATGGGCGCCACATTGACTTGAATCCGTCTATGGTAGGTTCTATGATTGATGAACGCACCGAGAAGCCTTATATCGGTAACTACATCCGTTCCAGTCGTTACAGTCTATGGAGTTTCTTCCCCCGCCAATTCTTCGCCCAATTCACCAAAGTCGCCAACTTCTACTTCTTGATTGTCGCTATCCTTCAGATGATCCCCGGCTTGAGTACAACTGGAACATACACAACTATCGTTCCGCTTTTGATCTTCGTTGGTATCTCGATGGGCAAGGAAGGATTTGATGATTGGCGCCGGTATCGCTTGGACAAGGAAGAGAACAACCGGGATGCTTGGGTGCTCCGTCCAGGCCACGGGACGATCCAGGATGGCGCCTCCATGATAAGCAACGCTCAAGATTGGGAGCGGATCAAGTGTGAGGAAATTCGTGTTGGCGACGTTATTAAACTTGAGCGCGACCAACCGATTCCCGCCGATATTGCTCTCCTCCACGCCAACGGGCCCAACGGCGTCGCGTACATTGAGACCATGGCTCTCGACGGCGAGACAAATTTGAAAAATAAGCAGCCTTGCCAGCCTGTGTCTAAGGTGTGCTCGACTGTGGAGGATATCAACAGCAACTCCGTGCACTTCGTCGTTGAGGACCCCAACTTGGATCTCTACAAGTTCGACGGTCACGTCAGTGTCAATGGCCAGGAGAGATTACCCTTGACCAACAACGAGATCGTCTACCGTGGCAGCATCCTTCGCAACACCGACCGCGCTTTGGGTATGGTGATCTATACTGGCGAGGAGTGCAAAATTCGGATGAACGCCAACAAGAATCCGCGTATCAAGAAGCCCGCTCTACAGGCCAAGGTCAACCGAGTGGTCATGCTGATTGTGGTGTTGGTTGTTATCCTGGCTGTTGTCTGCACTGTGGCCTACAAGTTCTGGTCTCAGGATGTGGAGCAACATTCTTGGTATCTTGAAGATGCCAGTGTCTCCTACGGCCCGATCTTCACTTCGTTCCTGATCATGTTCAACACCATGATTCCCATCTCTCTGTACGTGAGTATGGAAATCGTTAAAGTTGCCCAGATGCTGCTCTTGAACGATATCGACATGTACGACCCCGAAACCGACACCCCGCTCGAGGCGCACACATCCACCATCAACGAGGAGCTCGGCCAAGTCAGCTACATCTTCTCCGACAAGACTGGTACCCTGACGAATAACTCCATGCGCTTCCGTAAGATGAGTGTGGCGGGAACCGCGTGGTTGCACGACGCGGATCTCCAGGAGGAGGCTGCTCGTCAAGGCGACCATACCAAGTTGATGCACAAGAAGCGGAGAGTAAAGGGGAAAAAGGCCATGGGCCGCAAGTCCAATGTGTCCGAGGCTCAGATGCCCCGTGCATCGAATGTTTCCGGGCCTCTTGATGCTCTCCGTCAGACTGGCCGTTCGGCTACTACATACCGCACCGAGGATATGTTGGAATATATCCAGCGTAAGCCGTACACCATCTTTGCCAGAAAGGCGAAACTGTTCATTCTGTCCATGGCCCTGTGCCATACTTGCATCCCCGAAGAAGACAAGAACGGAAACACCACTTTCCAGGCTGCCTCCCCCGACGAGCTAGCTCTTGTTCTTGCAGCCCAGGACCTCGGATATCTCGTCGTGGATCGCCAATCAAACACGCTGACCATCCGCACCCAACCGAACGGACCGGACGAAGCCACCACCGACGAAGTCTACGAGATTATGGACGTGATCGAGTTCTCAAGCGCCCGAAAGCGCATGTCAGTTGTTGTTCGGATGCCCGACCGGCGCATTTGCTTATTCTGCAAGGGTGCCGACACCACGTTGATGCGTCTCCTGAAGCAAGCTGATCTGGCACGCGAGAAGGCGAATGAGATCGAGCGCCGCGCAAGCAGACGCAAGAATGCCGACGTGAACCAGGCCATCCAACGTAACAGCGAGCACCACAGCCGGAAGAACAGTATGGTTCGGAGCAGTATGACCCGGCCTAGCTTTACTCATCGGCGCTCCTCGATTACTGGCCAACAGGGTTCGGCTCTTCGAGCCAGTATCGATGTTTGGCTGCGCGATCGGGAAACGGATGGTGGTATGCGGAACAGAGAGGCTGATAGCGAGTACTACAGCCCTCGGCCTTCAGCGCAGATGGGTAGACCCTCGGCTGCGATCTCGGACTCTGGAAGTTCTACGAACGGCGAAGATGATGAAGAGGATCTTGTGGAGGAGGCACTGGTTGTCAATGAGGCGGCTATTTTCGAGCGCTGCTTCCAGCATCTGAATGACTTTGCCACTGACGGCCTGCGGACTCTGTTGTATGGCCACCGGTTCTTGGATGAAGCGACCTACACGAACTGGAAAATTGCCTACCACGAGGCTTGCACTAGCCTTGTTGATCGGCAGCAGAAAATCGAGGATGCCGGCGAGCAGATTGAGCAGCAGCTGGAGCTTACTGGTGCTACTGCTATTGAGGATAAGCTTCAAAAGGGCGTGCCGGAGGCTATTGAAAAACTGCGACGGGCCAATATCAAGATGTGGATGTTGACTGGTGATAAGCGGGAGACTGCTATCAATGTCGGCCACTCGTGTCGTCTTGTCAAGGAGTACTCGACACTAACTATCTTGGATCAAGAGAATGGCGACGTTGAACAAACGATCATAGATCTCATCGACGAGATTACCCGTGGCCGTGTGGCACATTCTGTGGTCGTGGTTGATGGCCAAACACTGTCAACCATTGAATCGAATGAGGTGGTGCGTGAACGGTTCTTCCAACTGGCTGTCAAGGCAGATTCGGTCATTTGTTGCCGAGCCAGCCCGAAGCAAAAAGCCTTCTTGGTGAGATCAATCCGCAAACAGCTCACCGACGCAATAACGCTTGCCATTGGAGACGGCGCCAACGATATCGCCATGATCCAGGAGGCCCATGTGGGTATCGGAATCACTGGAAAGGAAGGATTGCAGGCAGCACGTATCTCGGACTACTCGATCGGGCAGTTCCGCTTCCTTCTCAAACTCCTTCTAGTGCATGGTCGGTGGAACTATATGCGTGCTTGCAAGTATACACTCGGCACTTTCTGGAAGGAAATGTTGTTCTACCTGACTCAAGCCCTGTACCAGCGCTGGAACGGTTACACTGGCACCAGTTTGTACGAGCCATGGAGTCTGAGTATGTTCAACACGCTCTTTACCTCGCTCGCTGTCATATTCCTGGGTATCTTCACCAAAGACCTCTCAGCATCGACTCTGCTAGCCGTACCGGAGCTCTACACCAAGGGTCAAAGGCACGGCGGCTTCAATATTAAGCTCTACCTGGGCTGGTCATTCATGGCGACTTGCGAAGCAGTCATAATTTTCTTCACGATGTGGAGTCTTTTTGGCCTCGCAAGAGTCAACCCCAGCGACAACGACATCTTCTCCATGGGCCTACTCACCTTCTCCGCATGCATCATCGTCATCAACGTCAAACTTCAGGCTCTGGAAGTCCACAACAAAACCTACATGTCGCTCGTCGTTATAATAATATCCGTCGGCGGCTGGTTCATGTGGGACCTTATCCTCGACCGGGAATACACGATGTCCTCCGGCAAAGGCATTTACTTCCTTCCCTCTAATTTCATCCACCACTCCGGCCACAACCTCCTCTTCTGGACCGTCCTCCTCCTCTCCGTCTCAGCAGTCCTCCTCTTCGAATTCACGGTGTCAGCCCTCCGCGCCTTCTTCTTCCCAACGGATGTCGACCTCTTCCAAGAATACGAAAAAGACCTCGATATCCGCAGGCGCTTCGAAGAAGCAGCCGCCTCGGAACTCCAGCAGGGCTGGGACCACGGTACCAAGAGATCAAGCTTCGAGATCGCCCGTGAAAACGCCGAGCTCGCTGAGATTGACGCTCGCGAACGCCAGGTCCGCGAGCTCCTCGCCCGCCCCCGCATCATGGACTCCAAGCCTGATACCAAGGAACTCGAGGTTGATGGGTATACCAGCGCCAGCGCGACAGTTAGCCATAACAGCAGCGTGCCGAGTCGCGATGCTGTGAATGGCGTTGATACCGCGACGGACCGTGGTCGTCAGTCTGGCCTCCTCTGTCCCGAAGACGCTACCGGACGTCGTCGGTCCGTTGAGATCCAGGAGCTCTTCAGCAAGGGCTATGGTGCAGTCCGCAAGGGCCAACTCAAATGACCACCTCAAATGATTCAAGATTCAAGATTCAAGATTGAAGATTCGATTTGTACATGTATGACGTGACCGTCTTTTCCCTTCTTTTCTTTTCTCTTCTACTGTTATTTTCACTTTCACAGTCTCTCTCTCACATAGCGATTGCATACGCGATTCCTGTCCATTCCCTTATCATACGATCCCCTTGGGCATCGAATGGCGTTTGATCTTGAGTTCCTGTCCACACTTTCGTGGTCTCTTTTCTTATTGTTCGCTGTTCGGTCTGTTGCACAGTCGACCGTCAGTTCCAAGATACCCTGACTCATATCGTTGGCAGTCTGGCTTTTCGCGTTACATATCGGGTCCTAGTTGCATACGTGTGATTCCCCCTTCTTGCGGTTGAGGTTCAGTACATATTTCTTACCTCGCCGAGTTATTTTTAATTTAAAGATTTGACATGGTTTCCATCCTGATTTTGTAGTTTCATTGTAGTATGGGTAAATTAGGGCGTGGACTGCACGCAGGTCATACCTATAAGAAGCCAAATAGGTATATTGCTGCTACAAATTCCAGATTTCGATATTATTAGAGCAATCCGATGGGCCCTCGGGGTATGCAACTTCGTTTCGGGCGAGTTATGGCGGAGTTATAATGAAATTGGTTGGGATTATGTACATTCGGCGTCTTCTGGTTTATTTTATATGCTCGGTTTATGTTAGCTTTCTTTCAATGTCCAGTATCTCCACAGTCTTATTTTATATTATCTCCTAACATTGATTCAGGAGATAGAAAAGAAACACAAAACATGAACCGCAGTAGCAAACGAAGCACCGAAAATCATCCCTGCATCCTTTCTACCAATACCAATCACCACATCCGCTGCTTGAACAAACGCAGCGGCACCGATGACTGAAGCTACTGCCGGGCCATCAAGATAGAATGGGAGAATTGCAGTAAGTACTTCCAATGGGACAGCGCGCACTGCGTACATGCGCTGATAGAAGTGCTCGCCATTGGTAACGTGAGATGAGCCAGACAGAGACTCAGGCTTTGCAGTTGAAAGTATTGCGGCTGCTGCGGATGAAAATGAGGCGAGGGAATTCAGAATAAGCAAGAATTGTGGCATTGTTGATGTATAATGAGTGATTGCTTGGTTGTAGTGGGGATGGTGTTGGTAAGAGAGGGAGGGCTATTCGGCCCGTAAGCAACGGACGATTTAATATCCTTTGTTGTCTGACTTCACGAACCTATTATGCAATTGATCTGATATGATATCGGAAAGCCAATGTAGGATACAGAAGTGACAGGTCTGAGAGTGACAGGGGTCAGCCCCATGATGACTCGGAGATAGTGTACTCAAGCCCGTGTCACCTGATATCCAGAATGTGAAGATAAATGCACATTATGGATTTCTAATCTCGATCGACAGTCTGATAGTAGAGCTTGCCGGCAAGGGAAGGGTCCATGCCGCCCTTGACAGCGCTCTTTTTCTGCTGTTGCATGTTCTCCGATGATTTATTGGTGGGAGGGCGCATTGTTAGTGGTTGGGAATGTGATAACCATGCCAGAAAATGATTCGAAAGGCAGCCATTTTCATGAAAGGGTCGAGATGAGTGATGGAGTAACGTAACAAAGAAAGAGCAGTGCTGAAAAACGTTACTGTTTCATACATATAATACATCTTGAGCCAGATAAATCGGACGTCATTATAAGTCTTACATCGTCGAGGACAGAGACTGTATGTATGGCCGACAACTCTTGCATGTATAAATGTTCGTTATATTCAATTCATTCGTTTCCGTTATCATGACTTCGTGCGCTCTTATTATACAAGGTTACCAAGGCAATATTCAAAATATCCGTAAACTTCTCTCTATCCAAAGAGACTTGCTCTTGATGCCAATCCACCCCGGGGGAGGTATCCGATTTTTTGGAAGAGCGAACACTAAAATATGAATGATCCAACAGAGATGCTAGGTTTTCAAAAGCCCTGATCGCGACCTGCGCGGGAAGAATCTCAACAACAGTCGACCGCGGAGGTAGAAACATCGCATGTGTCAAACCAGCCCCGTGGACCCCGACCAGAATATCAGTCTGTTGCAGAACATCCAATTGTTCCTTGAACGGAATTGTTGCAAAATCAACTTCCTGGATTATAATGTTCGGAAAAGAAGACTTGACATCTTCGAGGTATTCAGTGTGGTTGAGTAGGACGCGGGTCTCCATGCGATCGATGAAAGTCACTGTTATATCACTCCCCTGGCGCGGCTGCTGGACTGGAAATTCGTAGTGATTCATGACTCGGCGTGAGAATGTGCGTAGAAGTGCCGAGTTATTGCATGAAGCACCTGCCGGGGGCAGATCACTCTGCCAAAGAGGATTGCTCCCACCCGCGAGCGGGAGGATGATGTTCTCAAAGCTCGCATTTGGAGGCAAGTCTTTGAGGCGTATTATTGGCCGTTTTGTGAAGATAGACCACAAATCGAAGAATGGGCCGTCTGCGTGCTCGTCCAGTAGAACGAGTTGAGTATTTAACGTATCGGGGTTCGTAAAGAATGCTCGCGAGTCGGAAGATTGGCTCATTTGGAGTGCGTTCAATGTAAGGGACGTAGAGAATATCTCCAGCAAGGAATGCCATAAGTTGAACGATCCCTCTCGCTTGACCAATATCGTATATTTAGGTGTTTCGGATTCTTTTGGCCTGACAGTGTCGTCAAGCTCTATCCAGTTATCCATAATGACGCGTGGGCCGGTGTCGAACATGTATTTTTGGAATGTGCCATATTCGGGGACAAGGAAGGGTAGTTGTGAATCAGGGAGCATGCCGAGTGTGCAACCTAGGCGGAATTTGGCTGTGACGGGATCAAAAATGGCGTTACGGGCGATGCATAATGAATCGACACGTCCGTTGACGGTTTCACTGTGGAGGCATGTTATGTTGGATGGCGAGTCTGCAGTGCAGTACTCTGTTGCGGAGTGACTGAAGTTTTCAAGGTACAGGGTACCGAAACGATTTTCACAAAACATTGCATTCTCTGCTGCTGATAGGCAGTCCAGAGGAAGACTGGACGTTGCAAGTCCTGGAATTCGTTTAGAAACGACGGGATGTTGAGAAGATGCTTCGTGGGTTGGTGATACCGATGAGTGGCTTGTAGGACCTGAGATGTTATAGCATCCATTCAGCTTGATGGGAGCGGGGAGCAAATGTGCTTCAGACGGATCACCAGTGCAGTGTATGCACTGTGGGATGCTATGACTGATGAGCCACATCAAGCCAATTAGGGAAGCACCAGTTAATATTCTCAATGGCCATGATGCACGCCTGTACCCCATCTTGACCAAGATTTCGTGAAGTCCGAGGACCATATATTAGACATTGGTACATGGGAGAAGAACAAATGGTACATCTACGATGTAGTTGTTAAATCTGCCCCCGATGAGCCCATCGACCTCTAATATTGGATATTACCTAAAGTCTTTTAATAGATATCTACCTAATTATGAATTGAGTACGGAGTACGCTGTAGCATTGACCGCTACAACACCCATAATAACGTTGAAGTGCTGTTTCAGCACCTAGATTGGCCAAAGATCAGACCCCTGCTCCAGTGTAATAAGCGCGATGGTATGAGTCGACCAGTCATATCTAGAAGACAACAAAGATTCCGCCATCCGAGTCATAGTCCCCTCCGCCAAGTCCAAAAACTTTCAACCCCTGAAATATGGACGGACATTGGAGGCTGAAAGTGTTTCGGTTCTTTGTTCCGGAAAAAGGACAATCCTTCGAACCTATGCCCCTTACAGTTAAATCAACATTTAGCCGACGCCAAAGCAACGAGTCTCGGATGTTTTATTGTCGCGCGCGGGCTGTATCGAGGTTAGTGCTAACCTAAAGCGAATGCCCACATGTACACCACGTCAGTGCTCGTTTAACTGTGTAGTATCTTACTCCATGAGCCATCCATAAGAGGGATAGAGATGTTTATTCTTTTTGACTACATCAATTCAACTGACTAAGATACAAAGACTTCGTAAATCCCACAAGGTAAATCAAAAGCTCGAATGGATATGTTATAACAAATATTCCAAAGTTGCGGTCAGTGGTTCTTTGGGCCAAGTCGAGACGCTAGGGCGATGTGGCAACAATGTGGAAGCTGACTTGGATATTCTCTCGAATCAATGACTTCAATTGAGTGGCTGGACTTGAGATAAACTCTATTCCCTAACATGCCACGTTGATTTGCACCCCGGGACAATAAATTGGCGGCTATTTATTGTTTTGATCTGTTGATTCGTTTCCGGCTAACTCCTACAACCCCACTATAACAGACGTGTTATTAACACTGCTCCAACGGACTTTATTCTAATGTTCCATGCCAACAAAGATGGTCAGAGCCTCTGGTCAAACGAAATTCCAAACGGAAATTTCGGGACTACGCCTGAAATATCAGGTTTGAGTACCCAACTTAGAAAGGTTTCAGCTTTGCGCCTCCCATGTATGCGTTGTCGTTGATCCATAGGAAGGTAAAACCCCATATGCCGTTGCCTACTTTGTGGATCTTATAGAAACCACATACTCTGAGTTGATTATCGCCCAAGCGGAAGGACCGAGAAGACTCATAACTCATTATATTTACCTATCCCATAGGCATACTTTGGCCAAGTTTTCTACTCTCCAAGATCTAAGACCAAAAAAATCCACCGAAAGTTCTTCGTGGTTTGCTGAGAAAGTAATTCTATATGGCCTGTCAGCCTTTAATTTTCTGTGCCAGGACTGGTGTTGTTCGGCCTGAAAAGCAAAGCGACGAAGCCCATCACGTTCCTGACCCAAATGAAATTTGCATAGGTAACATGGGCGGGTAAAAAGAATTGAACTTGGATTTATCATCGTTGAAGTTAAATATATAAATCTTGAGATCCGCGAAGTGACGCTATAAATGTTGTCACGTGGCGTTATCCCGGGGGTTTTGCCTATTCATGTCCTCTCCTCCATCATGCCTTAACTAAGAGATAATCCATTATTTCCATCCATTATTTCCACCCTCCGTTGTGACCCAGCGGGAGAGGATATGCCCCCGGGAGGTTTGTGAAACATCCACCAAGAAGATGCGGCTCTGACAATCACCAGGCCCGGCCTGTATAACATGCCGTGAAAAATGTCGTAAATGCGACCGCACAAAACCCGTTTGTCAAAGATGTGTCACCAAAGGCCTTGAGTGCAAAGGATACCCGGAAAGATTCCGCTTTGCGGGGATAGCAACCCGGGGCAAGTGGAAGAACCGCGCGGTCCCTACGGTGAGCCGTGGCCATGCTGTCCCGACTCAGCTAGACATCGGAACTGATCATCCGGATCCAAGCCATCAAGATTCTGATCAGCAGGATCCAAGTGCTTTGACCTCAAGCGAGGATCAAAATGTTGGACCTCTGCCAATTATCGAACATTTCTGGCCACAGCCAGAAGGGCGAACCGTGGAGTTGGACGATTTATTAATGCTCGAACGGACGGAACAGTTGTTGACACATTGTGTGTTTACTTTATCCTTTGGTGTTAAAGGTGTTAAATAACCCTTGACTAACGCAAAATGTTCAGATGACAAGATTGTATGTCCACATCAAATCGCGCTTCCAGCAGCCGGCGCGGACAACCCCTACCAAGTGTATGTTTTACCTCTAGCATACGAACAGATAGGGCTGCTGTATGCAGTTTTAGGTCTTTCTGCATGTCACCTGGGAATAAAAAATGAAGACGTATATTTACGAGAAACACTGGCTGTTGAATATCGACTCAGAGCTATACGCTGTCTTGGAGAAACTCTCCGGAACAGGATATCCGGCGAGCTGGATGAGAATGAACGCGACGGGATTTTCATTACTATTCAGATACTGTTACTCCAAGATGTGAGTTGGCCACCATGCATTTTACTACGCGATCTTGACGCAAGAAACTAATGGCTGAATCCGAATGAAGATTTTCGAATCAGGCGTCTCCACCCACGGAGTTCATATTACAGGTGCCCTATCGATTTGCAACCAGTTGCGCCTGTGTGATACACTATCAACAGAGAATGAAAGAACAATATTTTTCTTAGGGAATCTAGCATGGCAAGTGATCTCGTATCCTTCTTAGATCAGAACTCAGTTCTAACGCATGTCCTATCAGGCTAGACATCATCCGTTCACTTGCAGATCCACAAAGGCTATGTTTCTCCCAGGAGCTTCGTGACGCTGTTGCCACTTTGAGCGACTTGAAATTCGAGCGAGTCAATGGCTGTCCACGCGACATGTTCCTGGTCATGGGAAAAGTCATAGAATACGCCAAGGCACATGCCACGGGCAAGATAGGAACGCCAGAATTCGAGCGACTCCTCAATCTTTGCCGGAATGAGTTCTACTCATGGCGTTTGAAGACTGACAGATATCCAAACGATGATCACCGCTGGTCTGCAGTTGCCGAGGCATTCCGTCACGCATGCATACTGCATACATCTCGCTTGTTGGATGTCACTCAACCGGCCGAAGCGCCGATAATACAAAACTCCGTGGCAGCGATTTTGGACTCCTTGGCGAAAATTCCCGCAGACTGTCATCTGATCGAGTTGGTGGTCATGCCACTTTTTATGGCTGGGGCCGATGCTTTGTCCCTGTACGCTCGGCATTACGTCCTCCTGCGATTCGACCATATCCGGGCTCATGGTGGGGTGGGTAACCATATGTCGATTTCTCTGCTCAAGTCCGTTTGGGACGGTCGAGGTAGACAGGCGAAAAATGACAGCAGCAACATTCCATGGGTGTGGTTTGTGAGTTACTTTCTTCATGGGCTGTCTACTTGATCTTGGCTGACATCTGCAGACTCGCGACGCGGGATCGGAGCGGCAACATGACTATCTTATTATATAAATTCATCCAGTATTTTTGCGCATTTAATATCGTCATTACTTTTGAAGATATTCAAATTGTTGATCTGATTTGGCTATTCAACGTTATAATGGCAGTTGGTGTTTGACAGCAAAACGATTTCAAGACACAGCTTTCAATCGACATCACGAAGCATTGGTGCGAACTCATCAAAAATTTTCCGACGCTTGTCCGCCAGATCCTGAAAGACCTCCGTGGGTCCAACGCTCCCACCGATAATCTCATCGCTTCCCGTCTCCAATGCCTGATAGGCATCTTCAGCGTACTGCTCAACTGGCATCCCCATGCCCCGTCCTTTCTCAATGCCCATATAATCGTGTAGTTCAGCTATGCGCAACATGATGATAAGCATGATACACCTTATCTTCCATTCCACCATTCGGGGAGCTGATTGAACCGAGATATCTACTTACTTGACACAAGAGGTGGAGCCAACTCGATCACTTGAACATTCGATTCCCTCAGTTGGTCTCGGAGGCAGTACACAAAGGCGTTCAACGCAGCTTTAGCGGCTGAATAGGCGGGGATTCTTGGCGCAGGCACCAAAGCTAGAAGCGAAGTTGTACTGTCCAAAACAGATTAGAATGTCTATCAAAAAAGACTTGTAATGTAGACTGTGTACTAACAATATAAAGCTTGTTGGGGTGGACCTGGACATCAATAATGGAATGAATGCCTGAGTCAGAGCAACGTAGCTGATGAAATTGACGTCCATCTCTGCTCTGAAATCACTCAAGTCGCCATCCTTAGGGTCCGTCAACTTGTATTTCCGTTGGGTTCCCGGGTTGAGAAAGACACAGTCGATATCTGGATGTTGAGCGATTGCACTGTTTTTAATTTCGTGTTAGAATGTTCACCAAATTTCACATCAACTTGTTCGCCAACTGACTTCGCGGCAAATTGGGGAGCCCCGTCAATATCGCTGACATCGTAATTTATCCCCGAGGCCTGTTCCTCGCCATGCTTTGCAATGAACTCGTCGAGACGATGTTTCCGTCGTCCTACGGTAGTCACTTTGATGCCGGCTTGTATCAGACGATCGGCTAGCGCTCTACCGATTCCCGATGTACCTCCAACGAGCAAGACGTGCTTGTATGGGAATACCATTTTGAGATGAGATCCGATCAACCGAAATAGGATTAACGAAGGAATTGTGAATTGAATTTAAGTTGGTAGATGGTCGTTGGAAGTCAACTTGACCGTTGAACTCAACAAGCGGTGTATACATGTGTAACCATACGTACTGGCTTTTCCCTAGTGGGGCTTTCCTATTTGATCTGCCGCTTTTATGAGCTCAGGCTCAAGCTCACTTAGATCTCACCACGGACTCAGTGATCATGCGCAGTTCAGTCACGTAAAGAATGGCTGATGCTCAGTGGGTACTCAGTGAGTAGAACGGTCTCGTTTTTGTGGCAGATAGATAATTAAACGTCTATCCCTAGGTTACTTAAGGTGTTCATCTTATTTGCTCTTCAACTGTATCTCTTTACTAGAGCAAGAGTCGGATCTTTCATTCCTTCTCGCAAGGGCAAACGTGAAAGAGGTCTTCGATATAAAGTAGGGTTTCTTTACTCTAGCGATGTCGTCTACTACTAACCTTGGAACCTCTATTCTAGCATATTGAGTTAGTACTATTTCCTTTAACCACAAACATGCTAAGGATTCGAAATGTACAACTTCTGGATTTTCTCACGGTAATTTTGATCATGAAAAGGGTGAAAGAGAAGCGTTTGATTAAGCATTCATCATTAAGCAAGCTAATGGTATTCAAATCTATCATCATCCCGATTTTTACGTTTCCTCCCTGATACTCGTGGCCCGAGTTGTATGTGCCTCGCTCTGTAATTGCCAAGAGGGAATTCCATTTCTGGATTGTGGTGCGGTTCTTCTGATTCGGACATACTGAATTATTTGATGAATAGCCGATTGTTGGGTTCAGTTCAACTTCTCTGGTCCCGTTCTAGTAATTATACATAGTTAACCATTTAGCTCGTGTATTTTCATGGGTGAAACGTACGATCCAACCCAAGGGAAGATGCGGAGACGAGTTATCCTCGTCTCTACACAAACCCACCGACAAAAATGGGGTTTGAACCCTGACCCCTATACCGCTGCGTAGTCCTGCTCTTTATCCGCATCCGAACAACCCCAAATCGAGATAATAAATTTGCTACTTAAAAGTCATCATCCCACGTTCAAGTCCCATCCTCTTAAGTGGGGGGCAGAGCCTCTCTTGCTTCGGGGCCCTTCACAATAGATGTGCTACTACAATAGGAAATTGTTCGGCGGTTCAATTGCCCTCTTAATAGACCGCATTATTGCCGACTATTGCAAATCATCACTCGCTGCTCATTTGAACACGTCTTATTTCCGGTCGAGTCCACTAGCAGCTTTGACAACTCTTCGAGAATAGCCTCATAGGGCTAAGGGCCGCAAGATTCACCCGAAGGGAACCTCGGAATATATTAACGAATAACAAAAAGGATGACTTTACAAAACAAATACCTCGGGAGCTCATCCGACCGCTTTCACTCCTGGGCGTCCTTCTGCTTGAACAACTTCAAAATATGCTCATTGCCATAAGCAGCTGCGTGATCCAAAGAAGTTCGCTGCCGAGCATCCTCAAGCATAGGATCCACACCCAAGCTCATGATGAAGCCGAACCAACTGACTAGGTTTTCCATATTGTCTTTAATATCCCGCCCACGAACACCAATGGTATCGCGCACCTTCCTGCGAGCAACTACATGAAGCATCGACATCCCCGCGTCGTTTCGCGCGTGAAAATCGGCACCAAGATCCTGGAGCAAGATCAGGCTGTCATTGTCGCTGGAACTGTCGCCACTGTACGACCAAATACTAGATCGTAATCTGCCCCCCGCAAGACAGTGCATGAGGGGAGTTTCGCCTTTCTTGTTGCGTGCGTTTATGTCCAGCCCGAGGGCCAAGAACTGCTCGATGCGTGTCTTGTGATTAGATGCACTTCTGCAAAGGATATGGAGAGCTGTATCGCCTTTTGAATCGGGTTGGTGCAGATCTGCTCCGTATTCAAGTAGTAGATCGACATATTCGAACTGTATCGCCCTTTCGCGAAGCGCATAGTGGAGCGGAGTATCACCGGCTTCATCCCCTATCTGCACAATGCTAGGATCCTTGTCAAAGAGAACCCGCATGATGCTGATATTTTCCTCTTGCGCTTTGCGGGCTATGAGTGCGTGAACAACGGTCTTGCCAGATTTGTCTTGAGCGGTAATGTCAGCCCCACGGTCGACAAGGCGTCGAATTACCTCGGGATTACTAGTACAAAGGATCAAAGTTCTGCCTTTGTCATCTCGGCATTCCAGTTGTAGAGACGACTGTTGAAGCAGTGGCTCGAACACCTCCGTTTTAGTCAAGATCTCATGGATGACAGTGCGGGTTTTGGGTTCCCATCGATCTTTGGAACCAGCATGCACATCGTCCGAGTCCGAATCGTGGCCATCAACGAGAGAGTCATCCTTTACTCGATGGAGCTCAACGAAGGTGGCGTATGGGTCTGCACCACTCCGAAGAAGCGCTGTCATTGTGCCCGTTCGAACTGAAGCAAGATCAAACTCCTTGCGAGATGAGTATTTAGTGGGTTCGAAAGTTGCCGCATAGAACAAAGGATACTCCTCAGCAGTTGGGATTATGGTTTTTTGAAGGGCATGAGGCCTTACTCGACGCTCTAGCGCGGGCCGCCGTATGTTGGCGACATCACCATGGGAGAGGTAGAGCTCCAACAACTCAACATTGCAAAACTCAATGGCGGCGAATATAGCAGTGGCGGAAATCGCGGCGCCACGAGACAAAAGCAACTTGATCAAGTCAATATCAGCGCCAGCCTTTGACAGGCAGGTCTCCCCGTAGGCGTTGACTGCGTTGACATCTGCGCCATGATCCAGAAGAATGTCCACAGCATGCCTGTAAAAGACGCCCTTGGACTTGTCATAGTCGAGGGCGATATGCAAAGGTGTTTCCCCCTTGTCATCGCGGACCTCCAGATTCGCGCCCTTGCTGATGAGGTACGGCAAAGCCTGATGCACGTTCCACCAAGTTTTGCCCTCAGCGAGGTCATGTAGAACGGCATGATCCAACACGGTCTTATAATTGCCATCACCATATATCCTTTTCCTGCGCTTTGAATCGATGTTCACACCCATATTTTCCACAAGTGTTCGGACCACTTTCATATTTGGAAAGTTCCGGTGGCATGCGTGCATCAGCAGCGGCAGTGTCCTAGCACGGGAACGGGAACGGGAACTAAAACCGGTATTCTCGGTATGTTCGCACCATTCGTGGTCATCAAACTTCAGAGCCTGCTCTGGAGTACAGAGACGATCTAAGAGTTCTGAAAGACCATCATCCACAAGGCAGTGGATGACAGAGATATGGGTGTAATCTAACACAAGGAGATCCTTTTGTGAAGCCATTTCCTCGAATAGACCGTAGTGCCCAAGACGAAGATACTTAACCATTTGTTCGAAGCGGAGATCTATGCTTCCACCTTTTGTGTTCATGCATTCGTTTCGCCTCTTTTCTTGCTCTCTGAGAGACGATATTTCGCCTCGAAGGCGAGTTTTGCACAGGGTAAAGCCGTCGCCTCCCGGTCCCTCTATCAGGTTCAGTTTAGGGAACACACGATTCTGGAGCCGCAGCAAACATTCCGCGGTATAGTCGCGTTGATTAGATACTGCTTCTTGGAATGCTTCCCAAAGCGACTCCTTGTCCGAAGGAGGGTTTTTGCTGTGCAGTACCAATGAGGTGAGAATCTCATCTAGACGCGTCGAGCTTGAAGCACCATTTTCACTATTTGATCCCCATTGAGACTCCTTGGCTCCCTCCTCGGACTCACCCTTTGCCAGTGGCAGACTTCGGATACCAAGCCAGATGCTGGCGATCTTGAGGGCTTCGGCGTCCTCTTTTTTGCCCACTTTCGTCCATCGTACTTGTTCCATTTCAAAATTGGCACATGCTCTCAATGGAGTATATCCATTCTTGCCCGGCAGATTGGGATCTGCGCCGGCATTTAACAAAAGATCCACGGTCTCGGGTCGACCAGAACAGCAGGCTAAGTGAAGTGCCGTATCTCCTTCCACATTTTTCTGATTGATGAAGGTGTTCCGTGTTTCATCATCATGGTCAATCATGCTGGAAAGAACAAGACCAACTATGCCAGGTTGTCGGGCTCGAGCTGCGACATGGAGAACCGTCATGCCTTCTTTCGTAACGGCGAACATATCAGCCCCAGAGCAGAGAAGCCCAAAAACATTATATTCTGATACAGCGGCAGCAATATGCAAAGGCTGAATCCCGTCTGTATCCTGAGGACTTTTATTCTTGCACTCTCCGAGGACATAATCAAACGCTGTCTCGGCAGAAGAACTCGTGTGGCAGTGAGTCTGATTTTGGAAGGACATTTGATGCAAGACTGTCCACCCGTGGGAATTAGGATGGTCAATATCAACCCCCAGACTTTTGAGATGTTTGAAAATTGACGTGCTGTCCGATCTACTAGTTGCGAAAACGGCCTCAAGGAAAAGCGTATTGCCTTCATTGTCGGTGACTGAAGGGTCAAAATCCATCATCTTTATCAAATCATCCAGAGCTTCAACTTTACAGACCATTTTGTGGAAAAGAGTACGGCCCTTGTTGTCCCGTGTGTCCAGTCGGGCGCCTAAATTGATGAGGGATTTGGAAAAATTGGATATGCCCTTCGAATGCCCAGGAAGACTCTTGAAGAGGGTTGTTTGACCCTTCAAATCCCGGATCTCAAGATCTGCACCTGCTTTGACCAACTTGGAGATTAATTCAACTTTGGTGTCATCACCCATTGTATGCAGTGGCGTTTCGCCCTTGTTGTTTTGGAGATTCGGATCGGCGCCAGCGGACAGCAAGGCCTCAAGAACAGTATCTTGCTTACAGAATCTATACCGAACAAGTAACGCATGAAGAAAACCATTACCGTCTGGTTCGGTCAGATTTGGGTCCGTGGTGTACTTCAGAATCTCAATTCCGCTTTCGGAATGGTAACCACGAAGACGACTGAACAAGGGTCCGCCGTTGCTCTCCGCCATCAACTTATTGATATCAACAGCTGCCGAATCGAGCAGGATAGGAAGAAGCTTGGTGTCAGTCTTTCCATCGGTGTGTAGTATCGTGGCTCCAATGTCGGTTTTGGCGTAAGGGTCTGCCCCTGCTTCCAAAAGAAGCTGAACAATATCTATATTGTTTGCGCAGGCGAAATGCAGAGCTGTCTTGCCATCATCCTCGGACTTTGTATGAACATCAGCGCCAGCTTGGAGGACGACTGAAACACATTCCAGCGGGATCTGGTGAGTTCCGTTACGTTTGTTGATTCCACTCAGAGCATGTAGAGAAGTGAAGCCCCTGGGCTCCTCTCGTTTTCCAGGGGTTTTCATTCTTATTGGATAACGCAAGCGGGAACCAATGCCCCCAAACTCGTTCACAGGATAGGAACAGCGAGTGTTGGGATCCGCACCTGCTCCAACAAGAACCTTGATTGTATCCAGGTCGCCGTTCAAGCAGGCTTTGAACAAAATTCTTCCTCCGAAGTGTGACTTCATGTCCACGACACTGTTTTGAAGAACGAGAGATACACATGCCGCGTGCCCTGAGCCTGAAAGCCAACCAAGGGCCTTCTTGATGTTGCCCTCTGATAGGTAGGGTAGAAATTCAGTTACTGCCTCGAGGTGACCATTGCGACATGCGTACATCAATGGAGTATGACCAACTGATGTCGGTGCATTGCCACAGCGCCTGGCTGGAGTTTCTTTTGTCTTCGGTGTCATTGGATCAACACCAGCCGCAAGCAAGACTTTGACGACATCAGCGTGGTTTTTTCTGGCGGCCTCATGAAGAGGCTTGTATCCTTGGTTCGCTTCACCGTCAGGATCTGCCCTTTTCTGAATGAAAAGTTGTGCAACATCTCCATGGCCACTAAAGGCAGCCCAGTAAAGAGGTGTATCTCCGTGATGGTTCTGAACATTTGGGTCGACGTTGCCTTTTTGGAACAAGTGGGCGGCGTACTGAGCTAGCCCGGCTTTGGCGACAGCATGAAGCGGAGTAACACTTTGAATAGAACCTTGTGGCCAGTCGATATCCAACCAAGCGGTGAATAGTTTCTTGTTTCCAAAAAACTCGTCAATAACCGAGTAAAGTGATGACAAATCCATCCCAGTCAAGGCGGCACGGCGAGTATGGATGTACCAATTGTTCGCTGCATATTTAAGGAATGGGAATTTCAGGCGGATCTTACTCTGCTGGGCTTTTTTAGGATTGAAATATTGGTTATCCTTCTTGCGCTTCTTGGCATCGATGCTTTCTAAGCAGCCAGACATGAGATAATCCAAGCATGCGACAGCAAGTCGATGATTAGTTGGGCCGGCCTCCAAAATTGGGAAAGTTGCTTCATCAATGACAGTGGAGCGAGTGAGCCCTTTGAGAAACTCAGTCAAAGAATGGTGAACGACCGACACGGTTTCGTCATGAAGGATCTGGAGCAAGGGGCCACAAGCCGCTCGGACAATATTTTTGATCTCTTTCAAGCTAGATGTTCCAAGTGGAGTATGAGTCGCTTTGATCATCTCAGCGACCTCAAGAAGTCGAAGGGGGCGGGTGGTATGTGTAGTAGACTGCAGAATAAGCATTTGGAGGTCTTTAGGAACATTGGAGTGCTCTGCATGCTCGCGTAGTAGCCCATCATACATCACGTTCAGGTTGTCAGGCAACTTGTTGAGCACATCTCCAGCATCGGCCCCAGGTTTTGAAAATGCATCCATAGAAAGCCTAGCATACAAGAACAGACCATTCGCTCGACCGGGAACGGCTTCAGTTATGCGAGTCCAATACTCCTCGGGCACGGGTGAGTTTCGCAGTCGGTGCTGCACGTAGGCAGCGATATCGATATCGACAAGCTTTTCATCCAAGGGTAGAACGGGCACATAGAATGGTCTCAAAGGCGATTCTACTGCAACGACTGGGCGTGACAGCATCAAAACCTTGAGGTTGGCGGGGCGCCACTGGCCCAGCTCCACTAAGGCCTGGAGGAAGTCATCATTACCATGGTCCATTTCGTCTAAGGCATCGACGACGCAGTATGCCTTGGGGAAAGCAGTGAGAGCAAATCGAATATTTTTCCATAGATCGTTAGCAGATAAACTATCGATAGAGCGTCTCTCATCGATATAATCCTTCTTCAATTCGGCCTGTAAGCTTGGACTAAAGGGGAGGATTTGGCAAAGCCAGTCCCGTAGGACTGCGACTGGTTGATGGTTTGCATCGATAATCTGTCGAAAGAAGAAAAAGAGGACTGGAACTTTCTCTTTGCGTATTTGGTGGATGATTGAGGCAGCCATGACAGACTTTCCAGACCCCGGTATGCCTTTGATCCACAGCAGACCGTTCGTGTCGCTTTGATGCCACTGCTGATATGTGCTTGTAGACATAAGCCATTGGCCTGTACCCGCCAGGTACGACTCGAGGTGCCGTGAAAATTCAGAGCCCTCCAGATCATAGGGTGTTGGCTGCAGCCACTCTCTGATCTTCTTCAGATCACTTGCCGGGAGAGGCAAAATATTCCCTTCGTTGAAATCCTGGACATCGCCCGGGCTGACCATCACGACATCAGACCCCTCGGAATCTGAAAGTGCCATAGTGGGCCAAATGTAATTCTACCCAGGTGGACAGTAAGTGATGTTTTCCGTCGAGCTCGATGTGAGCCCAAATTAACGGGAATTGAAGAGGGGAAGTTGCCCCGGGGGCGCACTTAAATATTTGCTAGGCGCTCAAACACATTACTAGTTGAGCCGCACTAGATCCCAAACGGGGTTAGTGGCCCACGGTGGGTTTTGCCAAGGTTCATGCCCAGGTGCCGTGATGTCTCAACTCCAAGTATGAGATTGTTGTGGCATTACGGAGTACTTGTGTCCTAGAAAAGGAACCAACTGAAATACGCAAAAGCAAAAGCTTAGGTAGAGTTTGCCTCTCCTAGGATGGTCCTACATGGTGCAATGTTATCGAGGTTCGGGCAGATGATTGGTTTGGCCCTTACATAGACATCTCTCTCTTCCTGCTTTTCCCTGCCGGTATTTTCTTTTCTTTTCTTTTTTTTTTGTGTCATGGTTTCACACGCGTATCAATACCGCATGCTTCTTGTCTTCAGTAGACGACTGTCTTACTCTTCGTTCCGTCAAAATTTGAAGATCTCTCGGTTTTGGGACCAAGCCCTGTGTCACGATCAGGGCCTCGGGGCGCATTCCAACCAGCCCTAACCGCTCTGCCAGAAGCAAAAGAGCAGGATTGCAACCGGCGCATTGGACCTGCGCTTGCTATATAAGGACATAGCTCGTCACACCATGCGGGCTACCTGATGGCCAGATTTTATATCGAAGTTAACGGACTTAGCCAGGTAGTGCGAAGTACATGTAGCTATACGTACCGGATTTTCCCTAGTGGGGCTTTCCTATTTGATCTGCTGCCGCTTTTATGAGGGTGCTCAGGCTCAAGCTCACTGAGTAGATCTCACACGGACTCAGGTCAGTGATCATGCTCAGTTCAGTCACGTAAAGAATGACTGATGCTCAGTGGGTGCTCAGTGTACAATCAGTGAGCAACACTGATGCACTCAGACCACCCCAGATTATACCTAGAACTAAGAAAGGATTAGCCCCCACAGGGTCGTTTAACTATCCTATGATAGTTAGTTCGTTGATACATTACTACCTTCAATTTTTGGAACACTACATTTTGTCAAGAAAATAAGAAGGGGCGTAGGGAGCGGAAAACTCCATCCGTTTCATAGTATTGTGTAAATGAAAAGCGCCGTCGGAAAAAGTCTGGATCACTGTCAGCTCTAGAGAGTTCTCCATCGTCCCACAAAATTTGACGTCATCCTGATTCCTATATATGGAACCCGCTGTCGATTCTTTACTACTTCCTCACACTGACTCTGGATTATTTTCGCCTAGATCCATTTCTTCCCCTGATGCCATGTCCCTCGAAGCTCTTTCATCCGTAGGCATGTCTGACGTCATGGCAGCGCTCCCATCTGGTGTCGTAACTCGCATATTCAGCCGCCTGAAATATGTTCAGCTCGAAGCTGAGAAGATCGCAGAGACACTTGAAAGGGACGAGGAAGAAAACGGCAACTAGTTCCTTGTTCTACTCAAAATAAGCCCCCTCATCTCCGAGCGACTCTTCGAGGACCATGAATGCCTGGGCGGCGTGAATTACCGGTTTGAGTTTGAAAGCGGTACAGGCCTTTTGCGCATGATACCAGGGTATCGCCATGAATACACCACTACGGGACTCTTGCAGAAAGTCAATCTGCAACTGGATAGCATGGGACTAAATGAGCAATATCGTTGGGGCGGAGCGACGCGATATAAATCCCCATTGCGGAACAAAGAGGGAGACCAAGTGTTCAGCCCCTCTGTACGTTGGCCTTCTAGCACCAGCTTGCAATGGCCCACCGTGGTTGTTGAAACGGGTGTATCTGAGAGCCTGCCAAGACTACTTCAAGATGCTAGATGGTGGTTCGGAGCCTCTGATGGAGGAGTACGCATGGTGATTATCATATCTATCAAGAAGACCGCTGTACATTTTGAACAATGGCAGCTTGCTCCTCCCAATGCCCCTCGACCCTTGACCAGGTCCTACATTGACAGCTTCCGCCGAAATCCCGGTAACGTGCCACCCCTCCTCCAACAGCCGTTCAATATGCAGCAGCCATATTCGTGTGCTGAAGTGGATGTGACTAAAACTACAGTCGATAGTGCCCCACTGACAATCCCATATTGTGCTCTATTCGACGTTCCTATCCGACCCCCTAACATGCAAGATGTTGTGCTTGATGCACAAGACTTCCGTTTCATCACTGCAGTCAATTTCTCTTGATTGCTGATCTTAGGGGATCAATTAATTTGAAGAGAGGAATTGAAGGGTTTCGACCGGATCAATGGAGATTGCGGAGTGGGAAGAATGGCTGTCTTCCAGAGAATATCAACAGGATCATTTTCCCTCCGGAGAATTGGATGCTCTGTCGAGGATTTAGCACCGAGAAGAGAATTGAATGATTCTAAAGGAGTTATGAGAGTGCTACCAGACTTAGATGGCCACAAAAATAGTGAAGCCGTGGAATTACCATAACGCTGTCGAGTGGGCGAAATCTAGCTAACCTTGATATCCCTATTAAATAGTAGCTTGACTCCGAGCTGATTTAGGCAAACGGTAAGTATGGACATATTAGAAATAGGTATGAGGATTAGTTAGTTGGAGAATTCATTTCCCCCTGAGGTCACCCATACATTGTCGTACAGGCAGATTTCTGTCATCTTCTATTCCATCGTTGACGCTAGAACGATCATCAAACAAGATACCCCAATGGCGACAGAGAATGACTGGCAAAGACCAGCATTATTAAATTTGACTAGAATATAGCATCAAATGTTGGACTCAGATCTAATGTGTCAACTACCAACATATCAAACGTTTGAGCGCATGTTTTCATTAATCCAAACCAACTTGCTTAACTCGAGAAGCGCTTGCCACTTTGCCATCTTCCTCTCTAGATCCCACCGAGGTATCTCCCTCTATAGACGATGACTCCAGGGGGTCAATAGCTGAGAGACCCGCCTCTGCCTTTGCCACCTTTTTCTTATCGCGCCACAGAAGGAATTGAACAGTTGCGGTGCTCAAGACTAGAACATTATTGTCAGCTGGAAACAAAGCTCGAGCGGAGAAAGGGTTTTTTACTTAGCAATACTTGAAGTACGATTGACCAAGTATATCCTTTTGGGGCTTGGGGAAATGCTGTGGTTTTCCACACAAAATTGGGAGCCTTCGTTCAATCTGGTAAGTATGAATCTCGAAGCTGGGGAATGTACAAGGAGACTCACGACGGCTTGTACAACATAGGCAAGGTCATTAGCCATCGCAACAAGCAGCGCTCGCTTTTCTGTGTCGTCGGAGCAGATCTCGTTGATCCAGCTCAGAATTAATGGACCGGCACCACCCTAAGAGTACTGTTAAGATCTGACAGTTGAACACTTCGTGGGATGGTAAGCTTACACCGATATTACTTAACCAATAAATAACTGTACGACTGTTGAGATCTGTGTAAAAGGGCATCTTCATCATTAGGGAAGCGAAGATGAGCTGTGCAATAGATAGAAGTAGTCGTTAGTTACCGTAGTGTGAAAGTTACTCGACATATATAACCTCTCTGGACTTACAGTAGAAACGGCACCGACGTAGATAAATGGCCAGCGAGCGCCACGACATGGCCCATCGGACAGCCAAGCCCAAGCCAATGACATGGCAATGAGTACACCGGTCGTAGGGAGAGGTACTTGTACATGAAATTAGCTAGGTCCATTGAGATACAGAACCAAATCAAACTCTCACAGTTATTGATTTGTGCGACGGTGTAAGTCTTCCCGGGGACAGGAGCAGGGTTGGCATTAAAGCTCTTCAGCCAATAACCCATAGCAGGCTGAGGCAAGCCATTGTTCCAAAGAATGTATAGCAATGCTGGGGGGTGTCAGTATAGTTCTAGGACAAGAATGGTGTAGAGTACAACTCACGGAGAAGATAAGTATGCCAGCTGAGCAGAATTCCTTTCACCTTTGCCTTTGTCCAAGGCTGCTTGCCAGCACGTCCAATATTCTGCATTCTCTTAATTGACATCTGATGCTCCTTTTCTGTCGTCCACCATGTCCTTTTGCCACTTTGTGGTAGGTTTGGAAAGAATATATATCCAGCGAGCGCAAGCGGTAGTGTAATGATACCATCAATAATAAAAAGCCAACGCCCTATTCTCATCAGTCAGCAGTTGTTTCCCTTCCTTTCGTTGGGTTGAGATGAAGGGGTAGGATGATGAAATCCAAAATCCGAGAGAGGGGAAATCCGGAAGGATTGCAGTCACATACATCCAGCGTAACCATGTGTCCCGTTCAAGTTTGTATATGCAGCGGCCTGGAGGAAGCCGCTAAACAAAGTGCCAACTGAACCCGCGAGCCAGAAGATCATTGCCCGCTTTCCGATCTCTTGTGGTGTGTACCATGATCCCAGTAAGTAATGGATGCCGGGGTAAAATCCTGATCTATAACGAGATTAGTAACTGGCCACTAGCATTAAATCTTAAGATGTTGACATACTCAAAGAAACCGACAAGGAAGCGCAAAGCATACAGAGCTTGATACGATTTCACGCTTGATGTACAGATAGTCGCGAGTCCCCATCCTACCTCCAGCGTGGGGATCACCCATCGAGGAGAGACTCTGGTTAACAGCAAGTTGGATGGAATTTGCCCAATAACGTATCCCACAGTCCAGATAGACGTGCCTAACACAGTACTTGTTAGCAAATGTTAGAAATATTCTCGGCTCTTTCCAAAGAAGACGAGAAGAACCGTTGCGGGCGGGAGCGTAAGTACATACTAGTTACTAGTTGATTACCAAACATCTCTAGATCCTCTTCCATACCACTGAGAAAGGCATTGTTCACGTTTGACTGGTCGATATTCTTCAAAAAGTAACCAAGAGATGCGAATGTGAGGACGAAAGCATCAACTTTAAAAAGCATCCAGCGTTGGTCTGGTGGAAGCTCCCATGTGTCCCATACATAACTTTTCCATGACCTGACAGGCTTTGTAACATCTTCTGTCTGGGTGTTGCTGGTCTGGTTCTCCGCATCTATGCTGTACACCGAGGCGGCCGTCACTTGTTGGGAATCACCCGCGGTTCCCATTGTGCGTTGGGAATTGTGTTGCGCTGGATGACCCAGTGTGCAGATTGATAACTGTACAATATCTTTTGATGGGATTAATCCCGGCGATTCTACTGATTTTATACGAATAGTGAGATATGTCCTCAGCGGACCTAGTAATCGCGTCACTGAGAGATCCTACAATTATCCCGCGCTGATATCTAGAAGTTGAGGAGAAAGCTAGGCGATACACCCGACACTAATCTTGATTGCGTCCTATAGGTTTATCTAGCGGGTCCCCAGCACATAAACATGGCGATTCTTCGGGGTAACTTTGCGCAATAACTCACGCAATTTACCTTAAATCTTGCAAGCTCACACACAAAAGGATGCACCAGCCTTGCTAGTGCTAAGCCTATCTTTGAGGCCAAGAAAAGACTTGAATTATTTTGCTGACAGAGCCGGGTCTTTGTCAAGGTTACGTGCTAAGACGCAATCCTTTAGTATCTTACGTGCTACCAACAACATAGACTCGAAAAATATATCCAACTATTAAAGAACAATCCCCATACCTTTCCAGTTCTCAAGCTGACAGCCCCTGGTAACAAGATGAGACCTAATTGCCGGATCTCACCTCAGGTCCGGAAATAAATATGCGAGATCAGCCCAATCCTCAACGTGGGGTTTGATCTAGATCACTCATGGCTAACGCATTGACTCTAGTCTATTTCCAAAGTCCCGTGTTTTAACCGATAAGTAACAAGTCCATGAGCATCCTTCCACTCGGCTACATTATGTCTCATTAACTACCTCGAAAGGCCAAAAGTCCACAGGCCAGCGGTACATCCATGCTTAGGTAAAGGAGCCATTCTGCCGGCGAAGAAGGATGAAGTACATACCACAGTTGCACTATTCAAAGCTTTTTTTATTATTGCTATGGCATCAATACATTAGATGACCCAGTTGATCTCAACACTTCTGAGCACGCTTGCGTGAAATCCAGGAATGGTTGTGCGTGATCTCGAGTATGAACATATCCTCAGAATATGGCCAGGGAAAGACATGGTTGCTATGGTTTTAGGATATTCCCACCGTCGGATTTGTTACTTGGGAAGTTCGTTCGGTTCTCACGGTTTGATATTTGCCTTTCTGCCTGAGGCCTAAAGCTTATATTTTCGCCTTAGGAATCAGGCTACAAGAGTGTTTTCAGATATTTCTACAACTTTACCTACGCCCAAACGATATTAAACCAACTTCTCAAATATTTACTGTCGTGATATGTATCAAGCCAAGGGACAAGTGTCCAGATATCCCCCGAATCTCGGCATAGCATTTCAAAGTGCACAGTAAAATCCGTGCGAATCGGGAATAGCGCCATTTCCCAGCCCTTCTCTGCGAGTCATGACTGCGGGTGAAGGCTCGTGCGCTCGGCTTTGCATTTGAATATTCGCCTTGCAAGGTTTGAAAGGGCTAGAATCTGACATCAAAGGTCCCTTGCAGATGCATTATGACCTTAGATAATCAACGTGCCATGGGTGAGGTTGTCGACTGTCTTCAACTTCATGGCTACATCTCTCGTGGCGATCAACTTCGATAAGAACCAAATCCAAGCCAATGAAAAAAAAAACCTAGTAGCGGCTTTGGTGCTTGCCGACACTAATTCCACCCGCAGGGGTCCCTGCCCCTCGTGGCGTCCAAATTCCTTGCTTGCTTTTCTTCATTCTCTTCGACTACTTTGTAGCCACAACAGCCTTTTCTCTTCTGTCGAAAATCTAGAGAAATCCAGAGAAAAATCACCGTTCGGTCCCAATGGATTCTAAGAATTCCCCCAGCTCAGTTGTACCTACAGGTACAGCGGGCAAGGACAAACAGCGGACAAACTCCTTACTAGCGGAGGAAAGATCGATTCGAAATGGAGACCAAGATATCTTGCAGGGAGAGAAGGTGGACGAGGTTCTTGCTGCTAAAATGACGCTTATCAATGATGTGGGAAAACAATACCCTGGCACTATGAATGAGACACGCAATTAACTCGAGGCTATTTGTCCTCTACAGACCATTGATGAGATTGGTTTTACGCCTCACCACTGGAAACTGTTTTGCCTGAACGGATTCGGATACGCAGTTGATTCGCTCATCCTCTTGATCCAGTCCATTATTTCGACCCAGGCCAGGTTGGAGTTCAACCCATCATATTCCACCGGGCTCACCATCGCGGTCTACGTCGGTATGTTGGTGGGTGCCATTTTCTGGGGCTTTTCGGCAGACATTATCGGCCGACGGTTCGCCTTCAACTTCTCCCTGTTCGTTTCGTCGATATTCACCATCGTCGCGGGTGCTGCCCCTTCTTGGGTCACTCTGGGTTTATTCATCTGCTTGAGTGCTTTTGGTGCCGGTGGAAACCTGGTTTTGGATACTACGGTCTTCCTCGAATACCTTCCCAGCAAGGAACAGTGGCTGTTGACACTCATGGCAGCTTGGTGGGGTGAGTTCACACTTTCCAGTGAATTTTCTGCAGAAAGTCTGAACTGACTCACAGTATCTAGGTTTGGGTCAGCTTATCGCAGGTCTGTTTGCTTGGGCGTTTCTTCCCAACTTCTCCTGCAGCGACGCAGCCACATGTACTCGTGAGAACAATCAGGGATGGCGCTATGTCTGGTACACATCCGGTGCCCTGGTATTCGTTCTCTCCGTCCTCCGTGTGACCATCATCCGCCTTGAAGAAACCCCCAAGTTCCTCATCTCCGAAGGAAAAGACGAGCAAGCAGTACGCGTTCTACGCAACATTGCCGATCGACACAACCGCCCATGCAGCCTCACCATCGAGCAGCTTCAAGCATGCGGACAAACCGTTCCTCGCGGAGCCCCAGGGGATATTTGGTTTGTGCGACTCATCTCCCCGAGCGAAGTGTTCTTCCATCTCCGTGGACTCTTCGCAACTCGCAAAATGGCCCTCTCGACGTCCCTAGTCTGGCTCTCATGGCTCCTCATCGGCCTCGCCTATCCGCTTTACAACGTGTTCCTCCCCACCTATCTTGCATCGCGGGGCGCAACCTTTGGACAGAGCAGCCCGTATATTACCTGGCGGAACTACGCCATTAACAATACCTGTGGTATCCTCGGCCCTGTGCTGGCGGGATTTATGTGTCGCTCGCCCTGGTTCTGGGGTCGTAGGGGAACCATGATCATTGGAGCTGTGGTCACTATGGTTTTCTTTTTCTGCTATACGCAAGTGCGTACTGCGAATCAGAATGTAGGCTTTACGTGTGCTATTTCCTTTTGCTTGAATGTTTATTATGGTACCCTCTATGCTTATACCCCCGAGGTATGTGCTTGCTCACTTTGATTAGATCTCTCAGCCAGTATCTAATTGCTTGATAGGTCTTCCCCTCCGCCCACCGAGGCACAGGAAATGGTGTTGCTATTGGCCTCAATCGGATTATGGGAATCGTCAGTGCCGTTGTCGGCCAGGCGGCAAATGTAAGGATATAGTATTTGCTCACCCGAAGAAATTACTAATATTCTTTCTGAACAGACCAGCACGCCCGTGCCAATTTACATCTGTGCGGCCCTTTACATTGTGATGGCGATTGTCGCCGGAGCCTTGCCATTTGAACCGTATGGCCGACGAAGCAGCTGAAGATTCAAATGCTTTAGGGCATATAGTAGTCACTTTATGAATATTTTAAGGCTCCCGTTTGGTTCCACGATTGTCTAAATGGACAAACCTGGATGACCCAATCGGAGAATCTCATTTCGTTACTCGCCTCGGCAGGTTAGCCGTCCATATATTTATATTTGAAATTAAAGCATAAGATTATACACCCCAGCTACCACATACCATCGATAAACAATCCAGTACCCATAGAGACAGAGCAAAGTGTTAGTACTAGTTGAACTAGAGAACACATTGGGATCTTTGGCCAAATTGCATAGAAGAATCGATATCCCCGCGTCAGCATTGAACCAGTTTTCACGCCGGTAGTTACCAGCAACCGTTCTCCGTGCAGTCAGCGGCCAACTCTATTCATCTCTCCGTAGCCTTCGCCGCCTTTTCTCTCGCGCCATTTTCCCACTGATCCCACGCCAAAGTAAGACTCACAGTGTCTCTCCATAAATCCTCAGGATGACCTCCAGCCGGCGGTTCCCTGCCATTTCCAACTTTCCCATTTGTCTTCCCCTTCACAAACCGCATATGCCAAGGTGTAATCCCAATCTTCTCAAATCCCATCCTCTGCGCAAGTCGAGCACTAGCAGGGTTCATCGTGCTAGCCATCCAATGTACTCTGCGCAATCCAAGGCCGCCTTTCTCCGTGGACTCAAAGGCAAGCTGTAGAGCGAGTCCAACGGCATTAGTTGCCACATGAGTTCTTTGATACGGAGGCAGAATGACAATAAATCCAATCTCTGTGCACAAGTTTATCGGTGATGTACGGATAAAGCTCACAGTTCCAGCTAGTTCACCTTCGGGGTCTTCTGGGGATGGCGGCCGTGTCTTGTCTATTATGGCAAAGGCAAATGACTCTGGATTGGAGAAAGACAGGATATGGCTCGTGGAATTACTGTAAAATAGGGACTTGAATTCGGTTGCCGAGGCCGGGGGAGACATGGGCATGTGTGCGTATATTTCGGCATGGGGCGATGATAGGCGGAAGAAGGTCTCACAGTGTTGCTCTGGGTTGAAGCGGATGAGCTTCACACGTTCGTTTGATATTTCTCCCACGTGGAAGGGGAAGACGGAAATTGAAGCCATTTTGGTCGATGTGGGAATGTTGGGTTTGGAAAGAAGGTTAGGTCGCTTGGTGGCTTTACAGATCAGCGAGCAGATTTGTAACCAGTTCTGCGCGATGGGTAAGTCGCGCAAGTTGGTCTGAAGAGGTTGCGTCTTACAGGGTAAAATTGTGAGTGAGTCACCCTTCTTGGCGAAGACCTCGGGATACCTACGGATGGCATTGACCCTTTGATATCTTGTAATCTTTTCACATGCTAAGCCCCGTTTCTGATAAATTTTGGCGATGGGTCATTTTTAAGGACGGTCATTCGCTTTTTGCCTCTTTGGGGCTGATCCAAGCTTCATACGCCCACCTTGGAACAAGGCCAGAGGACAAGGGCCTCGTATTCCCGTACTTTGATCATTGGTCAAATTCCACGCCCTTTTCCCAAAACGCAAAGGCTTCTGAAGGGCTATGAAGGAGCTCTTTCATAATCTGCAATTATTCGCGATGCATGAAACCACACAAAACCCCTTGAATATCAATCTAGACTTCTCTCTGGACGATACAAAATATGGGGACATCGGCATTTATTGTACCGTGTTGTGCCCAGCCATTCTAGATGCCCACTGCTGCTCCGTGCTCTCGGGTGTGTGCTAATCGTCGCCGACTACCTCCATATCACAGCAAATTTGACCTGAGACTTGCTAGCGTCAGTCTTGCCACTTAAATACAAACAAATGATTCACTCATCACTCATCATCCTTCGGTGGCTGATACACTTTATGCTGGAAAAATCCATTCTGCCAGGACGCTTCCAATGCCTTTGAGACTTGAAGCCCTTCGAGTCTCCCTGTGCAAAGGACTCCTCCGATCAAGAGGACGCAGTGCTGACAAAACTGCGGTCGTTGCTTGATACGGGCTTAGAGCTGTCATTGGTTTCAGCGTTGCAAAGGCCAGGGTCATTGTTTGGCATGGGGGTGAAGTCGTTGTTGCTGGTAAGACCGGGATCGTTGCTTGGCGGGCTGAAGTGGATGCTGTTGAATTGGGTACTTTGAGACATGGTACTTTGAGAGGTGGTATTTTGAGAATAACTCTTGAAAAATGGAAATAATCGATACGCCACAGCACCGATAATAAGAAGCGGCAGAAGACCAGACGTCATCTTCGTATAAATGGAGAAACCAAATACAGATACCATGCCGTGTAGCTTTACCAGCATCTGGAGAGCGTTGTAAGAAGTACTCATAGGACCCGCTTCCGCAAAGACAGTGTCCACCATCAAAGAGCAAAGAATGGGTACAACCATCCTACTAGTCGTGAAGATGAGGATACCCTCGAATAAATATGAAGGATCCTTTATCATGCGAAGAGGGTCACGGTGTGCCACCGAGAAGAATATACCACAAACAAGTGTGATTATATGCCAATCGATCAGACCGAAAATTTGGCCATGGGAGGTCCAATCCTTGTCGGGGTCATTGGGGTCCAAAATTAGGTTTGATATCGAAGGGAGAGGAATTTCGGGGGGCACAGGCTGTGCTTCATCTTGTGCGCGTGCCTCATCTTCTAAGGGAGTATGAGACCTCTCAGTTGATTGATTCTAGGGAATCCCCAGATTTGACCCACCTTCCTGGAAATAATCAATAATTGTGATGAGCGGTGCGACCAGTGTCACCATAGAAGCGACTTGGCCAAACGACCAATCATTGAAACCAGTCAACGAAGCCTCGAAGCCCATCTTTTCCGGTCGCTTTATTGTCCCTACCACTTGGGAAATACCGAGCGCAAAAGCGATGATCAACCAAGAGACCTAATATCAAGTCAGAAACCATAGGATGTAATCAACACACGTCCCATATCTGACCTCTATAATGGACGAATCCCACACATCCACGAGCACCAAGCACATGAGGTATACAGATAAGAGGGGGAGGTAGCAAAGTGTCAATTTCAGACTCCGTGGCGAGCGTGATGCCCGGCTCCAGTTATACACAATGCGTAACAATCTTCGTATGGGACCTGCAAGGAAGGTTCTAGCTTTAACAACACTCCTTGATGGCGTATCGTAGAGGTTGATTACCCTTGAGGCAAATCCAACGATAATCAAGATAATCGAGAGAGGCATCCGAAAAAATGCCGAATTCATCCCCGGACGAGCGTGCATATGACAGATTGCAGGGTCACTGATAGTCGGGTGATCATGATCGTCATTGTCTTCGTCAAAGGCCCAACGATAGTTTCCTGTGAAACTGATGCCCACGATCAACATCATGGCTAATACACCCACTAAGAGTACTCTTATTGCCCGCTCGATAGGGCGGTCGTGGAGATAGTTGCGCAGATGTGTTAAGCAGGATAACTGGGTCAGGCAGGAAATCCAGGCCATGTGAGTGATGACTAGCCAATGATAGGTTGCCAGGCCGCATTTAAGCTGGGAATACCCAGCGATCAGGATCCAGAAGCCTGTCACGATTTGTATGTCACTCATTGCTCGGATGCACTGTTTTAAGAGGTTTTAATCCTTTCTGATTCACCGATCCGATCTCATAAGGGAACACACCTTGATTAGAACCTTTGCAAGTTTTTCGCTCTTGGTAATTTTGACAAAAGGGCTTAGGTAAAGCTTGAATAATGCTAAAGAGGATACGTCCATCGGGTTGGGTCGAACCGGTAGACTTTGAGCATTTTCAAACGGGTTGCGGGTTGGATCGTAGGAAGTGAAGTAATAGAGAGTAATGGTCACTACGGCGAAGCCGGTAGTCACGATATTGTTGATAATGATCTACTAATGTGAGATGCGCCCGTAATTGAGAGAAAGGGAAACTCATACCCCAATCCCAGTGATATCGCTGTTTGGAGATAAGGGGGCGGGAGCTGAGCAGTCGACATTGCAAGACATAGCGCGGCCGTCATCCGACCTCCGTTTTCCGTATGTCTATCAGTGCGTCTCTCTATTTTGTAGTCTATTGTTAGGTCGAAGTTGTCGAGTTGGGCATTGGAGGTTTCTATTCTCGCTTAAGCACGTGATGGTGAGTCCAGGTGAGGCTGACAAGCACGGTCCCTGCTGTTATATTCTAGAAATGCTTGCTCCATATACATAAGAATATCATTTATCTCGAATATAAATGTTTCACATTTCGATGAAACCGTAAGGGAAATACTCCGCTACCTACCCTATATTCGGTTCCATTATTGCCCACTCTGTCTGGTTTGCCCTATAATCGTCGAAAATAAGTAAGGAATAAGGAACCGCTCGAGTCCAGGTCTGGTGAATGAGAGAGAAGAATTTAGTAATATCACTATGAATACGGAGGAGTACTCGGGCTATTGTATCCCCATGTCCAAAGTTGAGCTGACCGGTGATCCTATTAAATCACAGGTTTGGACACAATGAGGTCCTGATACTGAAGGCCCAAGACCCCGAACATCCCACCAAGCAATCGTATAATCTAAAAAAGCCACCACCCAAACAAATAAGCGCCCTAACTATGTATAATATCTACTGTTTTAGCCGCATAAGCTCTAGTCGTGGGGTGAAAAGAGCACTGGCATAGTACGCTAAGGCACTTTTGAGAGTTGGTGATAGCCCTGGAGGCAAACAGACTGCGAAGACCCACAGTTCTTGTATCCAAACAGACCCTTGGAAACTGTTGGTGTGGCTTTCCACTGCCAATCAGCAGTCAACAATGAACTAGCGTCTGTCAGATCATGCCTAGCGCTTACTTTGAAAGGACCCCGTGGGGGCCAAGTGAGCGGGATTCTTAGCGTGTGCCACTTTTGCAAACGCTTTCCAACATTCGCTTATTCTTCTGAAACAATCTTGGCATAGACTGACGGGGTAGAGAACACCCTTAAATGGTTTCGCTGCGCCAATGAGTGAGAGATAGCTGAAGATTCTCTTGGAGTAGAACGCTATCAATCGCGATCTTGTTTAGCAGGACCATTTTATCTCCGAAGTTTATTCGCGCCATCTTCGTGGTTGTGGCTACTTGTTTGGGGGTTGTGACATTGCTGGAACTTCGAGCCACTCGCCGTTTCGGTGATTCTGATTATGACTTCGCTGTTGAAGCCGGGAAGCATGTCAACTGGTCGCGATTTGCGTACACCCAATATGCCACCGACCGGTTTTATTTGTGTAACTCGGTCATGCTATTCGAGAGCCTCCACCGGCTTGGAAGTAAAGCTGATCGCGTGTTAATGTACCCCTCTGAGTGGTACGTTTCTGAAGAAGGTGGTTCAAGGGAAAGCTGTATGCTTCGCTATGCACGGAACCATTATGGGGTCAAGCTCAAGCCAATCGAGATACAAATAAATTCTGGGAGTGATGGTGAGTGATTTCAGCTCATACAGCGTTGCAGAGCACTTGATCAGCGCCGCTATTATAATTCCAACATGGAGCTAACTTGCAACGCTTCTGTCAGTAACGTGGTCAAAGAGCTGCACAAAGCTGCTCGCCTTTAACCAAACAGAGTACGACCGGGTTCTTAACTTGGATTCAGATGCAACCATTCTGCAGGTGTGTAAATCAGTCATGGAGTTGTCTGTTATAATAAAAACTTACCTATATTCAGACCATGGACGAGTTATTCCTAGCGCCCTCCAGCCCTGTCGCCATGCCCTTAGCTTACTGGACAGATCCGGAAAAGCGAATTTTCACCTCTGCGGTCATTCTCATTCAACCTTCTGCAGCTGCCTTTGATCGCACGATGAATGCAATTTCTACCGCCAACTCTAGCACCTTTGACATGGAGATTATGAACAACATGTATAAAGATACTACACTTACTATCCCGCATCGGCCGTATATTCTTCTGACTGGGGAATTCCGCTCCAATAAGCACGAGGCATATCTAGGGAATTCAGGCGAAACGTGGGATGCCGAAAAGGTCTTTAAAGAGGCTAAATATTTGCACTTTTCCGATTGGCCTGTTCCTAAGGTATGTCAGACTTTGGAATGAGCATCGGTAAATTATAAAAAAGCTAACTTTTTTTGGTAGCCATGGATTAAAGCTCTCCCTGATGTGGTCGAAGATTCGCAGCCTCAATGCGAGTTGAACCCGGCAACTGGTTATAAGGATGACTGCCGCGTCAAAAACCTTTGGTTGGGAGTTTATGAGGACTTTAAGGTCAGACGAGAGGTATTTCAAGATCCTCCTTATACATATTAACTTCATCGAGTTTACTAACCTTGGTTAGCATATATGTGACACTGCTGTGAGAGAAGGTTGATACCCCGAAGCAGCCTCATAGATCTGCTCAACGCCATTGCTTGCACATTCCACGATCACGATATAGAATATCTGTTGCCTACCATCGAAATCTTCTGGCTGTACATTACCACGATTAATTATTGTGATGGGATATAAAACAGGATAATTTTAGATTAATGAAGATCCGAGGTGTGAATTGACATTTTTATGTACATATTGCATACATATGGTCGTTGTATCAAAGCAAAGCCGATGTCCGATAGAATTTTTTAGTAATATATTCATGCTGGGCAGATAAAGTGTGGCTGTGGATGGTGCATGGGGCAAAATAAGGTGGCTGGCTGCCAAAGGTCAATGCACAGACCCTTTTCCTACTATGCTTTGAGATCTTCGACGATGTATACCATTTGCGTTAGACAATATCTACCCGAGTGCATCAAAATACCTTAGTCACACAGATTCAAAGGCAAGGTGTTACATACAGCCAGCCACATTCCCAATAGTTGGATCTTTCTGCAGAATACCGCGAGTAGATCCCATAGCTTCGTTTATTTCCAGCCCCAGAAGGAATTCTACCACTCTGATATATTTGAACTAAGTTTCTCTATCGTTCCTCCTTTTTTCTCTCTTTCTGTAACATTTACACGACAGGCAGAGGATAGAACAGCAAACTCTATGGATAACAAAAAAGCTCCACTCAAAGTGCTTGTGACAGGAGTAAGCAATATTCAAAACACATTAACCCAAATGTCTAACATATAGTCTATTCAATGTGTAGGCAGCGGGCTTTTTGGGATCAAACTTGGTCGATTTCCTCCTTGATAATGGCCATACGGTGATTGGGCTCGACAGTTTTCAAAGTGGCTCATCGCAAAATTTGTGCCATTTAGAAAACAATCCCCGGTTTGAATTTTTTAAGTAAACTTATCTTGCGCCCCTATGAAAAACAAACCTGTCAGTCCCTGACTAGGAACCAGTCACAATATCCAATATCCTCTTCCAGAGCTTGAAGGAGTCGACCAGATCTACAATCTAGCTTGCCCAGCAAGCCCCGTCCATTATCAAAAAGATCCAGTGTCGACCTTGAATACTTGTTTCCTCGGTACTCAAAATCTGTTAGAGCTTGCGAGATCCAGAAACATACGCGTTCTGCACACCAGCACCTCGGGTTAGCAGTGCACAAACCCAACCCCCCAAATCCCTTAATATGTACCTGACCAAGGGTATGCCCGTGGAAACAGAAGTCTACGGCGACCCCACCGTCCACCCCCAGCCAGAGCACTACTGGGGCAATGTAAACTCATTCGGCCCACGAGCCTGCTACGACGAAGGAAAACGCGTCGCCGAAGCCCTCTGCTACGCCTACAGGGAGCAGCACAACGTCGACATTCGCATCGCGCGCATATTCAACACATACGGACCACGCATGGGCGCGAGCGACGGCCGCGTCGTTTCAAGCTTCATCGCATCTGCATTGGCCGGTGAAGATCTGAAAATTACCGGTGATGGCATGGCAACTCGCTCGTTTCAATATGTTACCGACTGCACGCAGGGTCTGTATGCGCTCATGCAGAGCGACTATAGCAAAGGCCCGGTGAACATCGGTAATGATGGGGAATTCACTATCCAGCAACTAGCTGAAATCGTGATTGGGCTTGTTTCGCAAATGATTGGCCGGTCAACCGTCTCTATTGCGTATCTGCCGCCATTGGTGGATGATCCCACGGTGCGTCGGCCGGATATAACGTTGGCGAGAGAAGTGCTGCAATGGGCACCGGTTATCCGGCTGGAAGAGGGATTGCGGAGAACAATTGCGTGGCATATCAATGAGGGGCGGTCTGGCTAATTAACGGACTATTGGTGCATCACAGTTCCCGTGTCGGGTATGGCTTCCGAGATCACTTTGCATATTTGAGCATTTGCTTACTCAATAATGGATATTTGGGCTGTGGTCAGTCCTCAGACTAGAAGGTCTTTCCGGTACCCCTCTATGGCGCCTATTTTTAATGCATCTGTGTAACCGGTAGATCAATTTCAAAATCAAAGCGCGATCCCCCAGACTCTCAGAGATTCTTTCTTATCAATAAGCTCTATCTGACGAATTATTCAACCTATCAGATTCACGCTGAAGTCAATCAACGTGGGTCCGACAAAGATTTCCTCTTTGGGATTAGCTTATCGCGGCCAAGTATGAACTTCAAGATGCGTGACAAAGTGAGACTCGCCAATCACGGCGTTATGTATGGGCTATTTTTTAAGTATCAGTATCATAATTCTGCAGCTTGATTCTTGGCTATGGCGGGGTGAGTATATATATGACTCCCGTCCCCCCAGTACAAGTCCAAGTCCAAATCGAACATCTTCAGTGAACATCACTTGATTCATCCTTTCTCTTTTTATACGCCAATCCTTCAGTGCAATCAGTCTACACAATGGGTGACTACACACCAGAAGTGGCAGCGGCTTCAGTGCCTACCCTATCCGAGAAGCAGGTCGACGTTGCTGGCACCAAACCATCCAGCGGAGTCCTTTACCACCAGCTGCGAAATGAGCCCTTGAACATCGTCGGTGGTCGAGGCAGCTACCTGATAACCGAGGACGGTCTGGAAATTCTGGATGCGACATGCGGTGCAGCTGTATCCTGTCTGGGTCACAGTGACGAGCGTGTCCACGAAGCCATCTTGGACCAGCTGAAGAAAATCCCCTACTGCTACTCCATGTTTTTCACCAACAGTGCTGCGGAGAGTCTGGCAAAGTTTTTGGTAGACTCAACTGGAGGCAAGATGTCTCGTGCCTACATCGTGAGCTCGGGTAAGAAACCTGTCCATTCGAAATCAAGATTGGTCACTAAAATCACAATAGGTACCGAAGCTGTTGAGGCTGCTGTGAAGATGGCCATTCAGTATTTCACTGAATTGCCCGTCCCTGAGCCCCAGCGAGTTAACATCATTTCGCGCAAGTCGTCCTACCACGGAAATACCCTAGGGTCTCTTGCTGTTGGACACCACGCCTCGCGTCGGAGAATCTATGAAAGTCTTCTTTCGAAAAATATCCACCACGTGCCCCAATGCTATCCCTACCGCAGAATGAATGCCAATGAAAGTAACCAAGAGTACGTCGCAAGACTAGCTCAAGAACTGGAGGACGAATTCCAGAGACTTGGCCCCAACACTGTCTGTGCATTTGTAGCCGAGACAATGCCCGGTGCTGTGAGTACCACCCAGCTCCGTCATGCTAAACATTCTAACTGACTTTTTAGACCCTCGGCTGTGTCCCCCCATTGCCCGGCTACCTGAAAGCACTAAAGGCCGTCTGCGAGCGACACGGAGCGCTCTTCATCCTAGATGAAGTAATGTCCGGCATGGGCCGCACTGGAACCCTCCACGCTTGGGAGCAAGAGGACGTCGTCCCTGATCTTCAAACAATCGCCAAGGGACTCGGCGCCGGCTATGCCCCGATCGCTGGGTTGCTCATCAACAAGCACGTCGTCGATACTCTTAACAAGGGTACCGGCGCTTTTGTTCACAGTCAGACATACCAGGGACACCCGGTTGCCTGTGCAGCTGCGTATAAGGTGCAGCAAATTATACAAGACGATAATCTGCTGCCGAATGTGCGGGCGATGGGAGAATATCTGGGTCAGCGTCTCCACGAGCGTTTGGATAGTCACCCTCACGTGGGTGATATTCGAGGCAGGGGCTTGTTCTGGGCGGTTAGTTCTCTTTACTTTCTATTTTGGTCTTTACTAACATGAATATAGATGGAATTCGTTCAGGATAAAGAGACGAAAGAGCCATACCCGCCTTCAAAGGCGCTTTCTCGAACTCTCCACGCGACAGGTCTCAAGCCTGGAAATGCAATTTCGTTGATGCCAGGAAATGGTGGTATCGATGGTGCTAATGGTGACCATATTATTCTGGCACCGCCTTATAATACTACCCGTGAGGAGATCGATTTGATTGTCGACCGAACTGTTCGGGTTATTCAGGAGGTTCTGGGATAGCGGACTCTCTGAAAAGTAGTCTCTATTTTATCTTCTCGCTATTAGCTTAGTTAAATTGCCACCCAATCTTTAATCGACAAGACTTTTACGTTGCTGTATGCTGTATCATGAATCAATGCTGCAGTATATATATAGGCGGAAAGTCGTCTTACCAGCAATTTCAAAAGAATCCACCAGTTCACTATAGCCACTAACCATTTCCTCATTCTCGCTTCTGATAGATCATGATATGTACATAAACTTTAGCATATCTTATGAATTTAGTCTGCTCCATTGCTTTGCAATCTATACCTACCTATCGCCCCGAGTTTAAACCAATATAATTGGTCAATCATCAGGTGACCATCATTGTAGAGATAAGGCTGCGGGGCAACAAGATACCCCAGGGGCCGTTAATATATAATCCTTGCTCCTACTCTTATTATTTGTCGATCTTCCACCCAGTAGTACATCATTTATTTAATCATTGAGATGCCCGGAGGCGACAAGTTCTCACGGTCACGGACTGGTATGGCTGCTCATCCTAGGGCGAATTGGAAGTGCTGATATAAATATGGAATAGGATGTCTGCAATGCCGAAAGAAGCACAATAAATGTGACGAGCAACAGCCAGTTTGCTCCTTTTGTGCTTCGCGAGATCTAGAGTGCAAATATTCATCGGGTGTGAAATGGGTTCGACCGAAAGAGCCAATGCTTACAAGGCATAAGCCTCGCTGCAAAGACACCCGTCGAGCGATTGAACAAAACATGCTAGGTCAACCTTCGGCACTATTTGCAGAGACATTTTTTGATTCTGCAGAAGACAAATCTGCCTGGGAATATTGTACGTGATCTCATGGTATGTAATCGGAATTGGAATATCTAATCGAGAATACTTGGACAGATATAAGCCTCGTTTCATCCAATGTCCCCGCTGTAGATGGCCCGGACAACCCTTACCGGCAACTCTCCATCCCAGCCCTATCATCACCCATTCTCCTCGAGACTATTGTCTGCATATCGACAGAACACATGCTCAACTTCGGATTAACTAGCATTGACATCGCAGCCAAGCGCCAGCAGCGAATGCTCAGAACCCTCGGACAAAACCTGCTCAGTATCGATGCCGAGGCCGCTTGCGACACAGGTACAATCGTAGCGAGCAACAAGCACGAGCGAGAAGCGCTCCTCACAGCTGTTGTCCTTCAAGGCATCGTCGTCGCACAAACAGCAGACGGCGTACTGGAGCCTCACGTCAAATGTGCTTCTTGGCTCATGCAAGCACTAGGCTACTTCGAGGAAATACCCCAAAATTCCATCACACGGATGGCAGTACAACGCTTCGGCATGGTCGATGTAATGCTAGCCATCTCACGACAGCGAAGGCCATACGCACCGCAGAAATTCATACTCAACCAGCCGGACCAGAATCGCTGGGACACCACCGAGCCCTCATTCCACAAGATGACAGGATGCCCACAGCCACTGATGTGTTTCCTAGTACGAATAGCACATCTAGCCTGTGACGTGAGCGAGGGACTCGAGATAAATAATGATGAAAGTGCTATGCTCAACGAAGCATTCCGACTTGACACTGAGCTTCGCGTCTGGGGATCCGGATACAGTGGAATTCCGCCGGTGCAATGCGAGCGTTCACCCCTGGATATCCTCACCGAGTGCTTTTACTGGACTGCGCATTTACTACTTGCTCGTCGGGTTTTTCGAGACCAGACGTGCTCGCCGCGGGTGCAGCATTTGGTGCGTGTCTGCTTTGGGCTAATGGATCATCTGTCGACGGGGTGTGGGCCTGATTCGTCGCTGCCTCAGCCATTTTACCTTGCTGCGAGGGAGGCTATATCGGCCGAGGACCGTGCGTGGGTTCGGCAGAAGCATGAGTCCATGACGGCTTACTATAGGGAGCAACAGCGGAACTCGGCAATGGACCTTATTGAGCAGATCTGGGAAACAACGGATAAGCTACGGGAAATGGGCAGTGGATCTGGTTGGCCGAGGGAAATTGAATTGTCAATAGTGGATAGTTATGTGCAAGCGCTCGATAGAGGGGCTTGTTTCTTCATCTTCTAACGAAGTTAATTTTATATATTTTTCGAGGGGCTTTTTACTTTCCCCTCGGGTCATTATGAACCGGTTCGTCGAGCATGAAACAATGAACGGTCCCAGGTGTATTTACCTAGACGAGAATATCGGGATCTCGCATGTCAACAATGGAAGATAGGGCACCTACACATGTCGGGTCATTAGACACGAAGATTACTGCATGCAGTAGCCGAAGCAAAATAAAGTACCAAAAGGAGCCAACGCTAGAGGCCGAGGCCGAGGGAATAGGCTGAATGCAATGCCCCAATTTGGAGATTGATGAAGAGGTGAAGGAGTATACATCTGTATACAATGTACTCTGTCTGTACAAAGTACTCCGTATACCTAGATCATATGATAGTATCTTTAGAATATCCGGATAGTACGGATAAAGAAAGAGTCCTGATTCAAGTCCGGTCGGAGTGGTCTGGAATGACCTGTCATGTCCATTAAACCAATCATAATCAATGCCGGGGCGGGTACCTGAATGTTCACTTCTGGTCCGCGGAACTGTACGTGTAACTGCATGTTTATTGGTCGAGTCCACTGGATTAACCCCCTGGAAACTGTGGGTGTCCAATAGTCACTGCACAGTGTTCCAGTGGCTGACCTTGTCAGGGGAAACTCCCAGGGGGAAAAAGAAAACCTTCTATTTCATCCGGAGTATCGTTAATTCGTTATAATGTATTGAGATGTTTCAGATGCCCCGATCTCACGTGGATGCCGTTCGCATCCAAGCGATGTGGATTGTGTGGTTCATTTGACGCCACCATTTTCTAAGGGACTTGCCCCTGAGAGTAACACAGGACATAGACCCCGAGTAAGGGGAGCACTCGTACCCCTCTCCAAAACAATGGTCAGTCTGTGCCCTTATTTCTAGTCTCCATGATGCTTGGGCTTATGCAGGTCAACGCAGGGGCCGAAAACCAGTTTTCCTCCATTTCATACTTCCTATACTGGATCTAGGAGAAAAAAATCAATAGATTTTCTGGTTTAAACCCATAGAAGAGAAAGAAAAAAAAAAAGCGAAAAAACGTAAGAGAACTAAAAAAAGACTAAGAAATCGAGGCCCTGACGAAAAAAAAACAATGGGGCCCCCACGAGGTGCCAATAGTTCAGAAAGCCCCGGTGTGTCCATCTCATGCCCGGTTCCCCGTGTAGTCAGCATCCCATCTCCTGATCCGCTTTCCTTCTTGTGTTTCTTGTTTCTTATTCCCTCCATTCTTTTCTTTTCTTTTGCGTCCGTTTCATTCTTTCACGGCGACATTATATCACTCTTTCTACCCAATTCATTCGTTTTCTCGAGAACGGTTTGCCCCCCCCCCGTTCCCGCCCCGTTGATCGATTCAACCTGGGTATTAGCCATCTTCATTGATTCTTCATTGATTCTTGTCGATATAGGGAGATATTATTCCCCTGCCATTCGTTTCCAGCTGCTTAGGCCAGCCTTTTTGATTTATCCCCTCCTTTTTTTTTGGACGCCTCTGCGACGCGCCCTTTCAACCCAACCACCCAGTCTCTGACGTGGACACCCTCGAACGCGAGATCCTTACACTAGACTTCCATTCGTTTTACATCTTCAACTTGACCCTCTCGCGCCTGTGGCTGCTTCGAGAGAATTAAGATTTCCAACACTCCGTCTGTTTCCGATCACACCCATCCCATTATCTGTCGGCCGGATCGTCACACATCGTACCTTTTCTTTCCGAAAAAAACTATATACGCAACCCAAAAAAACTGCATATTGAATACCTTGAACACAATTCCCATTTTGTGCGATATATTTTCTACCGTACCACGTTACATTATGTCTTCGTTGACAGAAATGCATTACCCAACCAGCACAAGTGTGCCCACGGCATCTTCTTCCTCGCCTCCAGCTTCTACACCCTCTCCGTCGACCTCGAGTGCTACCACGGCCCATTCTTCTGCCGCGCGCCGACCTCCTCGCAAAAGCACTCTGACTCAACAACAGAAAAACAACAAACGCCAACGCGCAACACAGGATCAGCTTGTCCTTCTGGAGATTGAATTCAACAAGAACCCAACACCCACTGCGGCTACCAGAGAACGGATTGCTTCGGACATCAATATGACGGAGCGTTCTGTTCAGATCTGGTTCCAAAATCGGTACGTTCTATTTACGGTCGTGTTTCTATTTTTATCTCTACTGACTCGAAGATAGTCGCGCGAAAATCAAGATGCTGGCGAAAAAGAGTATTGAGACTGGTGAAGGATGCGACTCTATCCCAGAATCCATGCGACACTATCTCGCAATGCAGTTTGACCCGAACAAGCCTGGCGCGAGAGACCACTTTGGCCGTGCTGGCGCATATGGCCCGCCTAGCATGTACGCGAACGAGACCAACCCTTCTGGCAAAGTTGGTATGTTGATAGCCCCCCTTTGCTCCACCGTCTGTTAAACTAATTGGTATTTCTAGTGATCTCTCACTTCACTTGTCGTTCCTTGACTGTTGGCAGCTGGCGGCGCATTGGACAAAACGCCATGGACTTGGTCGTTTTCTATTCCCCCGATAAGGCATGCATGACTTACTATATCAACAATGATGCTGCTGGTTATAAGATCGAGTATCCGTTCGCCTATATCAAGAATATCACCTTGGAAACTGGTGATCCGAACCCTGGGCCAAATGGGGAGCCACCTCGACAAGGTGGTCTTGTCGTGGAACTGAACCGCCCGCCGCATTTTTACATGGACTCATCCAACTCTGGAGGGTTCTACCAGTGCGGTGATTTCACCGAGGAGCAGCAAGCTAGCCAGATCATGGTTCATCACCTGGGAGGCCATCCCAAGGTCTTGAGTGTTCAGCTTGCCAAGCTTGTGTCATTGGAGTCCTTCCAGAACCGCCTAGCTTATAATAACCCCAGCTTCGCCGTGCCAGCTGCGATGTCTCCGCCGTTCATCCAGCGCCCTGCGTCTCAGCCTAATCAGTTTGTCGCTCCCACTTATGTGAACCTGTACCAGGATAGCAACCACTTGGGCTTCAACATGCCAGCTGCTCGTGGCCACAAACGCCAACGAAGCCGTTCAGTACCCGTTGCAATTGACATCTCGTCACTCCAGGGCCCCATGTCTTCTTTCCACGTGCCACCCCCTCCACCCCCATTCAACCACACCGAGGCAGGCATTTACGCGCCTGTTCCGCAGTCAGTGCACCATCTCCCTACCGACCTCCGCATCGACACCCAAGGGTATGGACTGGATTTCCGTACCAACCCCATGTCCGCGACGACGACCACCGGATCACCCCCCGACTTCGCCAGTCCCATGTACAGCAATGCAGGGCAGGGCGAGTCCACGCCAGTAGCCAGCATGGCGCCTCAATTCAACGTACCCTTCGTTTCGGCGGGATCAACTGATGCCTCGACAATGGGCTCCCACGCACCATCTCCTTACTCCAGCATTAGCCCTGCAGACCCACTGATTGCAAATCACTCGCCGCCATTGTCCAACATGTCACACAGCTCGTCCGATATGTATGGCTTCTCGCAAGACCAGCAGACAGGCTTCGATGACGGTCTCTCGATGAACGATATGTACTCGAAGCATCACGTTAACTTTGGCGTTTCGCACGACAGTCCCAGCTTCGAACTGCCGATGCATGGCCTATCTGCCCACCCTTCTCCCGGCATGGGTGATTACTCCCACGGTATGGGTAACCTGGACGAGATCAACTCGCAAGGTATGCCCACTGGGTCATGAGTTTGCCTTTCTCTTTTTGTCTCTTGATGTTTCACGGCCTTTTCTGTGCATGCGACGCTTATGCTTGTCGACGGGGTTCTTGGGTTTTTCACCTTGGGGGAATTTCTTTATTGTCCAACATTGAGAGGTGTTGGGTTTCGGTGTTTTGCAAAACCCTTTGCTCTCTCTTTGGATGATTCTCGTCTCGCTGGCGATGGCTAGGGAAGCGATTTTACCTTTGTGTTTCTTGCGTGACATACCCTGTCTTGTTGTATTAAAATACCCTTTCTATTCTGGGGCCGGTCCTGAAGCGATTTTTTGTTTTTGTTTCTGTTTTCCCGGCTGTCCCGGTTGAATCCAGGACGTTTTTCTTCTTCTTTTCTCCCGGTCAATTTACCATTTTTCTTTTTTTTTTTCTTCTTATGACCGGATTTCTTGTTCTCACTTTTCATTTTCCCATTTTCCCATTTTCCATTTTTCTTTTTCCAATTTTCATTTCTCTTTTACGTGGTTATGCCAAACAGACCGACTTGGACTGCGACTCCAATCCTCTCGATTTTCTTTTCTCTTCTCTTTCGTCTTTCATCGAGGGTGGTGCTAGACTCTTGTCTGCCCTGCACTCCCGTTACAATGGTCCGTTTCCCTATGGGTCTGGAGTCGAATTTTTGCACATGAGCTTGTTCTGTCGGCACCTGTTTGGGTCTGACATCCAGCCAGTGCTGGTCCTTTGGCCTGCGCAGAGTTGTGATATCTTCTACGCCGAGACCATACAAGTAGGACAGCCTGAGCTGGCGGTACACGAGTGTGGAGGATTGACGCTAGGCTCTATATCAATTCATTTTGCATCGCATACAGATCCGTGTAGACTGTAGCCGTAGTTCAGTCTCACTATACTTACTATGTAATAGTACATATTATACAAGGGTATCTCAAACATCTCATATCAACCCAGCATGCATCCATGGATCGCATGTCTACGACTGCTTCTGCTTCTCCCACCCCATCGGCAATGGAGCCGTAAAACCTCGCTTCTCCCTAAGGAACCATTCAATCCAAACCTCCATCTTCTCCAAAATATTCCGCTCCGGCTTCCCCTCCATCCCAACATCGAATACTCCCTCCTTACACCAAACACTCCATGACCCCATCATCCCCGCCATAAGTACATCGGTTCCAAGCCGATCCCCAACAACAGCAATCTCATGCGCAGACTCAACAACCCCTCTCTCCCGGAACCACTGCACAACCTCGTCACCACAAAATGGCTTCTTTTCCGCGCCTGCCGGTAGCCGGAAGACAGGAATGCGCAGGTGCGCAAGCTGCGCTTCCAGATCGGAGACTTCGCCGTCGAACTTTGCGTGGCTGCCGGCGCGATTCGAGACGATCAGAATCGAGTGCGGGTTTGTTGTTTGGTTGAAGGGGGAGGTTGGCGAGGTGCGGAGGGAGGAGAGTTTGGCGAGGATCTGCGGTGGGAAGGATGTTGTTTTCGCTGCGCAGAGCGTGTTGTCTTTATCGAGGACTAGGGCGCGGATTGTGGGGGTGTGTGGTAATTTTTCGGGTGGTGTTTGGACTCCTTTCTTTGCGCTGATCAGGTGTGGACCTAGATTCTCGGGTAGGTGGGTGAAGGTTGGAATTGTGAGGTGTGGGAGGAATTGGGTTGGTTGTTTGAGGAGGGTTTGGACGGCGTGGTTGAAGCCTCGTAGATTGGAATTGGGTGATCCGGCCATGATGGCGGGTTTTAAATTCTGATGTAAAATTCTATGGGATGTAGAGGGTGCTATTGAAGGCGCATTATGTGGGAGTTTTTGTGCTTGGAGGTTGGAGTTGTTGTTTGGTCGGGATTAAGAGAACCCAAAGCGGAGAGGATGAGCTTAGCCGCAAAACTCGCCTTTCTCTTAACCTCCACTTACTCCGACCTCATCACTGTCCCACCATCTCCCCACGACCACCCATTGTCTTGATTTGTCCCTTTCTTTGCGCGAGGGAAGCTTTCAGTGTTTATTTTCGACTCCTTTTAACCGCTTTCCATCCTCGTTCGCCGTCACACAGTCAAAATGGGCAAGCTCACCTCCACGATCGGCATCCCGATCAAGCTCCTCAACGAAGCGCAGGTGCGTTACATTCCCCGATACTGCTATTCTGAATATTGGATGGGAAAGAAGGATGAATACGGGATATCGCGAAAATGGAAATCACGGTGGATAGCGCGAGACAGAGGGGCTAATATGGTTTTCCAATAGGGCCATGTCGTGACGATTGAGATCACATCCGGAGTCGTCTACCGGGGGAAGCTTTTGGAAGGTGCGTGGCTCATATCTGCTCGAGATTGTTAGCATCTGCTCTCTATCTAGAGAGGCAGTCTATAAACAAGCCTCGGGCAGTGTTTCTTTTGCGCGGTAGTATATACTGACTGCTTTTTCCTACAGCCGAGGACAACATGAACGTTCAGCTCAAGGACATCACCGTCACCGCTCGCGATGGCCGTGTCTCCCATCTCGACCAGGTCTACATTCGCGGCAGCCACGTGCGATTCTTCATTGTGCCTGACATGCTCCGGTACGTCCAACCCCTGATATTCAGCTTTTGGATCGCCATTTCGCGACCTGCGCATCTCCATTCATCTTTACTGACTATTCTCTCTCTTGCAGTAATGCTCCCATGTTCCGTACACGAGGCCAGCGCGGGCGCGGTGTCGGTTTGGCACGTGGTAAGGCTACAGTGCAGCGTGCGCGTGGCCAGCAGCGTGGCCGGGGTTAAACGTGATGTGGAAAAGACGAAATCGCAGTTTCAAGGCCTCACAAATTCAGAGTGGTTGGCGTTTTTCTTTGTTTTTCTGGTTCTTAGGGGATTTCTTTTTCGGGCTTTGATCTTGCGAAGTCTTAAAATACTGGCTAGCATTTCTTCTTGTAGATGCTTCGTCGGATCACCATTAAATTTATGAATCAACACCCGACATGAACCTCCTGCTTCCATAGTTAAACGCGTGTTTGTGTATGTTCAGCTCATGGAGCTCCATCGGGTATTGATATCGATTCGATGGCTTGGATCGGGGCTCATGTCTGAGGAGCAAGAATGTCATATACACGGACATAATCTAGCTAATTAATGCTTATAAACAAATCAGGGGAACACTCATCGGCCATCAGTTAGGAAATTTAGACAGCGCAGTACTACCTAGGTATGTATGTATCTGAGCTGCCGCCGCTTTTATGAGGGCCCTCAGGGTCTGGCCGAGTAAATCTGAGCACGCTCATCTCTATCACGTGATGATCCTTCCCCTATAAGCGGTGAGTTCGGGGCTCATCAGCGTGATGTGATAGGGTTCTACAACTTGGCCTCGCAGAATGAGTTGGTCCAAATTGGGGATTTTGATACAGTGGATATAAAAATCGAGAATGAAATTGCACCATGAAGGTAACGTTCTCTAGAGATAAATAACAGGAGAGTAAAGAGAAGTCAGGAGATCGAAAGAAGAAGATTGAAATCCAATACAGATATTCTAAGCGGGCAGAGCAAAGTAGTAATTCATTGGCGAACTCATCCAGCATTTCCATGGTGCTGGTAGCTTGCTCGGCGTTTTTGACATAATTTTCGCAAAGATTTATTCCCATATTAGCTGAAACGGCCACCGTTTGTCCAGGGAAACATACATGATATCTCGCTCTCCAAGGTCCTTGGATGGTCTAGAACGACAGGTCAGCTAGCCATACCGCATAGTTCTATCGGTGCGTACTTTTTTCTGACTTTCTGAGAGCGAAGCTTTACCGATCGGCCCAGGTTTCTATGTCTCAATACCTACCTCACTGTTCAAACCTATTCAAGGCCATTTAGAGAACGCTTGATAAGATATGGAGCTCGAGCCCCATCTCAGCTCTACAAAACCTTAGGGGGTCCCACAGCCGACCAACTTTTTACATTTACACTAAAATCCATATAACTGGCAGGTATGTGGTGGCGAACAGTGTTAGGATTAAATCAACAACGACGAATCCTTTATATTCAATATTGCTTATTAGGGCATGAGAATTTAAAACGTTTACAACGAGACGATAAGAAAGCCCCCGAACGAATCGCCACTACCTCGTAATCAATTTCCAAATGAGTTGGGTAGGTCCCTGTTTTCAGCCCCCGACTTGGACTATGAGTCCTCTCGTTCGGAAGGCAGACGGCCTAGCTTGTAATGATCAGTCATAATGGTTCATGATCTTGGATATCACTGAGGCATAAATGCAACTCGGCATTCATGTTCCTAGGAATAAATATGGTAAGCACAAAATATCAATTATAGGTATGGATAGAACGAACTCGTATGTCACTGCAATCCTCATCATAGAATATTTCAAAACGGCTGGTTATGCCGGGCGAGATAACGTCGAAATCTTTCATGGGTTGCGTTGTGTATTTGCGGTAAATTGCCGCCAGAAACGTGGTCATCTCTGCCATGGCGAGGCTGAAAAAAGTAAGCAACCGCGTATCGCGTTGTTCATTAGAAGATGTCTTACTGCATTCCAATACACATCCGTGCACCACTGGAGAAAGCCCAGAAGAACTTCTTCATTTGCGCAGCGTCCTGGGAGGGGTCAAGCCAGCGGTCTGGATTAAATGCCCGAGGGTCTCTGAAAACGTCTGCGTTCCGGTGCAGAATATATGGTGACATTGAGACGACTGTATGGGCGGGGATTGAATAACCGTCAATCGTGGTGTCCCTTGGTAGCGATCTTAGTTCTGATGCTGGGAGCGGCGCAAAAAGCCTGAGCGTTTCTTTGATGACTGCGCCAACATATTCCAGTTTGTCGGCTACTTCTGCTCGTGGTACCCCATCCACGTTAAGTTCATTTTCCGAGAGACTTTGAACTTCGTCAATGAGTCTCTTCTGAAACTTGCTGTGCTCGGGCCGAGAAAGAGACCAAATTGCAAACATGAGAGTATCACTTGTGGTGTCAATACCGCCGTCGATATGATCTGCGCATTCAGACGCAATATCGAAATCATCTAGACCGCCCTCTTTCTGACTGAGATGATGCTTCCAGAGTTTTGAGATAAGAGACGACTGTTTTGTCTTCTCCTCGGCTGAAGCATTAGAGAATAACCGGAAAGCCTTCATTGCGTATAGTTTGATATCGGTGTATGGTATTGGCCCCTGCATCGGGTAGAACTGGCGAGCAATGCAGCCCATTATCCCGGTCTGCGAGTAAAGCCAGGCCGTGAATTTCGGGTGATGGACTGTAAACCATGAAAGCCTGCGACTACCAGTGGCCATAATATCGCGAAGAAGAGCACGGTCTTTTTCCACGCCATCGAGACATGCCGTTTCCCCAAAGTCGCCATAGACGAACTCCGTGATGTTGTCCAAGGAAAAGTAATGTAACATCGGAAATATGTCGATAGATGGACTGACTCTCTCTCTTTCCAAAAGCTCAATGAACTTTTTAACCTTGGTTTCAATCATGTGTGCGTTCTTCCCTTTTAAAATTGTAGATTTAGCGTAGGAATTGGCGAAGATCTTTTTCCGTTCGCCATGCTGTTTCACTGCACTAAACGAGAACATGTTCTGGCGCCCGTATGCCGAAAACATATGGTAGAACTTGGTCCTTTCGAAACCACTCCCGGCCCCATATATTGAACGCAACGCGGAAAGACTGTTAAATGTCACCTCGTTTGGACCCACACGGACGACCGGGCCATATTCTTCATGAAGCGCATGGAGTTTGCGGGTGCGTGTGCCCTGATAGTCTTCGGAAGCAAGTCTCCATTTCGTCAAGGCAAACGACTTGGGCCCTGGGATCCGCGCTAAGGGGCTGAAGAGCAGAGACCGGCAGATATAATGGACCAAGAAAGCCATACTGACTGCAACAACGGTGGCAATGGTCATAGACATCTTGAAGCTGGTAATGTAGCAGACGATTTGACGACAAGGATGACCAAGAGCTGATGGGTTAGACATGTCTGGGTCTAGTCTCTAACTCTTCTCGCTTTGCAGTAGACCTCGAACGTATATTGTAGAGAGATAACCGAAATAGTGGATAGCTTGGGGTAATTAGTCGCCATTACATAACTCAAAGTATCAATACAAGAGACTAGTAAGAGTTAGCGAACTCGAATTCCTAGTGCTTTACTATTCGCCCTGCATAATGCGGGGCTAATAGTCTGGCTTGTCATAAAAAGGCGCGCCCTACGGTGTACAACGGAACTATTGTGATATGAGGGTGAAGATCAGCAAAGTCGGAAATAATCTGAATTTTCTATCAGGGTTGATTATCAACTTGGGCTGCATGTATATATAACCTGCTTTCGGAAGTATCCTATAACTATCAGGAAGCAAACCTTTGTCGTCTCTATTCTAACCATCTCGTTGATTCTACATTTACCCCGCTCGTGTTTCAATCTAGGACTCTCCCACATCGTACCTGGACCTGGCGTTTGTAGTATGGACTTCCTCTATGCTATCCAAAATTGTTAATCCTTGTCCATAGGACAATTTTGGAACCCTACAGTAACACAATGGCGCCTTAATCCTTTTCTAATCATCTAATCTCTCCCCTCTCTTTTCTTCGATTTCTCTCCCCTTGGGTCTCTACTGCCATGGAGTCGAAGTCTGAGACCACGGATCTTCCGCATAGTAATGGGGAAGCTCCCCGTGACGGCGACAGTGATACTGTCGAAGATCCCAGCCCTTTCTGGGCGGCTTGTATCACTGTTGGTGTTACTCTGAGCCTCTTTTTAGTATGAATCCTCCCTCTTACTGTAGATAGTAAATGCTAACGGGGTCTACAGGTTGGCTTGTCCTTCCGTGAGATCTTCGCGCAAGTTTCCCTCTCACTCCTATTCAAACGAAGTCATTCTACAACGAACTTAAGATGATCATTGAACAAGTACGGTGACTTGGGATTGCGGGATGAATACCAGTGCTTAGTAGTTTCCGGGATCGAGAGGCAGAGAACGCTGGGCGGCATTGACCACTTGCTCGGTGGCTAGGCGTAGATGCGAGCCTCGGAGATCGTGGGTGCATTTTTGCCATTGGATACTGGCGCAGCACCTGTAGTCATTGTCAGGCAACCAAGCCATTAGAGCAAAAAGCGCGAATGACAGAATTTCAGTTCATAAAGTCATTTTCTATCCTGACAGGGATTGTTAGTTGATAATGTAGTATCCTGTCATCAAGTGCTCAATTTTACTCCGAGAATCAAAAAGCGGCAAGAGGTTAGCACTAAAATGGAAATAGACAGGTTTCGGACATTATCCGGTCGTATTATCCACTCCGCCTTTTATTTGTCGACGCGGGGGACAGCTTTCTCAGCAGACCACCTTCTCCCACCGAGCACAGCCAATGGATTGAACCAGGCACTATCTGACTCTAATTTTCAAAGGGAGATTCCCATTGCGCCAAAAAAAAAAGAACCAGCCATCATGGCCTATTCAGCGCCCCCATCCAACCCCGCAACCTCCGCGAAGCCCAAAGCGAAGAATATTCCTAACCCGCGCCGCCTCCTAATCCTCACACCAACCTCTCAATCCCTCACAATAATTCCCCCTCTCCTGCACTCCCTAACCGGCGTGCCAGTCCTCGACCCACCGCAACAGCCAGCCCCTTCACCAACCCCAACCACACCACAGCCAACCTCAAGCTCAAGCTCAACACCCCCACCACCAACAACCACCTTCGCCGGCTACACAACCCACAGCCCTCTCCGCCTCGAAACAAAATACTACACGACAGAAGTCCCCGTCTGGGTCGACGAGATCCCGCTCGCGATTCACGACACAAATGCACAAACCACATCAACACCAACAGTCGAGCAATGGAAAACCGACTTCTTAAGCACAGAAGCTGAGATTGTGCGCGAGGCTGTTGGGGCTCTGGTTGTGTGCGCGCATACTCCCAGCGATGCGAGACCTCCACCAGGTTCCGATGCGAACGCAGACCCCGCTGAGCGGCCCGACGTACGCGCACTGCGTGACCTGATGCGTGGTATTGGCGCTGTTAAGGAGCGCATTGACGAGGAGCGCGGCGGGCTCGGCGATGTTCCTGGTGTATTTGTGTTGATTGGGGGGAGGAAGGGTGCTGTGGTTGTGGGTCAGCAGGGATCCAAGGATCCCGATGCGGATCTGGGGCTTGGTGTTGATGATGCGGATCTAGGTGGCGGGGAGATGGTGCCATTTTCAGTTGGGTGGTGGGAAGATCAGTTGTTTGATATGGGGTTACTGGGGTGGGAGGTTGTTGAGTGGGATCCTAAGGAGGCTTCGGAGGTTGAGACGAGGAATCAGTATGGAGGTGAGTTATTGAAGCAAGCTTTTGTTTATCGGGAGTTTCGCTGTGGTAAGATTTTGGATTTTGGCTGACTTCACTCTATTACTAGAACGTGAGGGTATGCCTCGTATCAAAGAGGTCCTTGAGACTCATGACTGGTCTATGGTTGGAGGTGACTCTAGCTTTGATGGAGATAATGATCCTGATATGGATTCCGATGACGATCTTCAAGACCAACTATTAGGTCTGGGTGGCTCTCGTGGGTTTGGCGATGAAGTTCATGAATTAGAACGTGAAATGTTCGGTTTGCGTATGGCAATTGAGCGCGGAGGCGGTGATGGTGATGAGGATGACTCTGATCATGATGATGGTGAGGATGAGATTGATGTCGAGAGCATGGAGGCATTGATGATGCGCATGCAGGCAATCAAAGGTATGATTCTGTGTTGATTTCTCGGGCTTGGTATAGTTAACCAGTGTACTAACATGGCTATTAGATATGAGCTCTGAGCTACCAGAGAGCGAACGGAAACGATTTGCTGCGAAGGCTGTGCAGGATATCATGCGCGAGCTTTGACATTGCTAGGTATTATACATAGATTCCCCTGGTTTTACATATAGAATTCCTCTGTATGGTTTACGGATTTTATCCCCTTTTCATCTTTCTAGCTAAAACTAAATAATAAAAAAGTCTTGTAGAAAGAATATCTGCAAAATCCATATAGATCCAGCACTGCCACAATCCGAGCCACACCGCCCCAAAGTGCCGAGACCCAGATGGATCCCGTGCGCTTCTCTGACGTCATAATATTCCATATTCCAAGGCATAACGCCAACTTGACAATGAGCTGTGTTTTATGCATGGATCATCCTGGCTAGCTTAGTGCTTGAACTAATCTTGTCTTCCTACATCATTTTTTTCTCCACACGTCTTCTCGAAACGCCGCTTCGTCATGTCTTGAATTTCCTACGCGACATAACCTTTTTCAATTCCCGTCCTTCCTTATTTTACATGAGGCGTGAACATACACAATAACCAATTGAAAGGACAAAAAGATCCCCCCTTTCCAAAATGCATTTCCCGGCAAGGAATTGCGCCCCTATCGTGTCGGCGGCGACGGGGAGGATATCACAACGTGGAGCTCAGTACGCCTCGTTAGGGAAGATTGGCTCGGCGGGGCTAAGTGGCTGGGCTAAGAACAGCCCTGCCGTTTCATCTAGACATATTAGTTCATTCTCAGGGAGGTGTATTGGCAGGGGTATTGGTCTCGGAGCTTCTGGTGCATCACTGGTAACGAAGCTGGGATGTGCTGGGCCGGTTGCAGTTCCACGAGATCACCTTGCATGGATTCAGATCAGGAAATTCAGCCAAGCAGATCATACACAAATCTCAGGCGATAAACAGAAGACTGAAGAGCTTTTGGAGAAGTTCGAAGTTCAAGAGGGCAATCAAGAAGCTCGGCCTCAGCGGACGGTTCTTAGTGAGAATGGCAAAGGGGGAAAGTCATCGGAAGAGCAGAAGTGGCCTGAAAGGATGACCAAAGGTAAGAAAGCGCTGCCATGGTTGCTCTAAGTATCAATGCTGACTTTTGGAGATAGGTAAAATGTTGACGACGCCATCGCGGCTTTTCAAGTTGATCATTCCTTTAACAACCATCGGTAATGAAGGCCACGATAAAGGTACGTTAATCTTCGACATATTCCCCAGACATCGCTTGGCCATCATTCTAACAGTCCAATCAGAAATCGAACCCATAGCTATCCTAGTTCACCCTCAACAACCATTATCATACCTAGAGCGCCTGATCCAATCAGAGCTACCCCCAATCAAAGGCAACACCGACAAGCTCCGCCCACCAGCGATATCCTTCATCGCACTCCAGCACGATGACAATTCAATCAAGCCCAAAAAGCGAATTGAAGACGAGATCGATCTAGACGCAAAGGAAAACAAAGGAGACTTCATCCCTGGCAACGACGGTTTTGGTGGTAGCAAACCCCTCAACGGCCGCCGATCACCCACCCAGCACCGCCGGTCCCGAGAAGAAGACGTCGAAACCTACAGCTACCCACGCAACACGAACGGTACCCCACCACCCGACGGCGAACCCGAGCGCTTTGTGCGCTGGTCACAGGCCACAGAGATAGGCGACTTCATCCGTGATGCTGCGCGCGCGGGCGAGTTCATCGTGACGATCGAAGGCGCACCGTCCGGTCTGAGTCAGATCCGCGTCACGGTGCCGTCGTTCAACGAGCGCACGTATTACCTCCGCATGCGGCTGCGCAAGCTCTCGCGACGCATCCAAACCATGGCGGATGTGAAGGAGGAGTGCGATGCGTTGGCGCATCGAGGTGCGCAGCGAGTTGCGATTGGTGGTTTTGGTATTCTTTCCATTTGGTGGTTTACGGTTTACAGGTTGACGTTCGAGACTGATCTCGGGTGGGATACTATGGAGCCTGTGACTTACCTGGTATCTTTGTCTACTTTGATGGGTGGTTATTTGTGGTTTTTGTATCACAATCGGGAGATTTCTTACAAGTCTGCGCTGGATTTCACGATCAGTGCGAGGCAGAAGAAGCTTTATCAGTTGCATAACGTTGATTTGCAGCTCTGGGAGTCTTTGATTGATGAGGGAAACTCCCTTCGTGGGGAGATTAAGAATATCGCGGCTGAGTATGATGCTGAGTGGAATGAGCGGGCTGATGAGCAGGATAAGCGTGTGACGGAGGTCTTGAAATCAGATCGTCGGCAGAAGCATGAGAAGAAGAGGGATGATGATGATAAGAATGACAGGGATGATGATTGATTATTTCAATCTACAGCCCAATCTCTCTAAGTGTATGTACTTTGCATTATATCGATGGTCTTAAAATTTTATACTTCAATTATAAAAAATAAGTTAAGTATTAACAGCACTGGATATGAAGTGAAAGCAAAACAAAATCCCCAAGAAACACCCTCAAGCCCAAAATATCATATCGTCCCATTGCGCACAGGATCATAGTACTTCTTCGGCTGTGTTGTCTCTTCCTGCCTCGTGCGTTTATCTACACACTCATCAGCATCTTCTTCGCTAAATGGAAAAAAAGAAAGAAAAACAGGTAATACATACCAGTCTCCGAGCCTGCGGAGCCCCCGGTCTCCCCCTTCCTCCTATTCCGATTATTCCTCACATCCCGCGACCGAAAAACACTATACAACAACCACCCGGCAACCCAATTCGGGCCATATTCGCCATTTGTCGCTCCACGCTCGAACAAACCGCGCACGAGCGGCGGCGCATTGTGGCAGATCTCTAGGATTGCCCAGCGCTGGCAGTCAGGGCGAATGTGGTGCCAGAAGAAGGGGGGCGGGTTGCTGGGTCGGCGCGTATGTTGTCGAGGAGATTGGAGGTGTCGAGGTTCATGCGGTTGTAGACAATGATTGCTTCATCCTGCGGTGGGGTTTATTAGGGAGTTTCTGTATATGTATGATGTGTGTGTGTGTGTTGACGTATGAAGGTGGCATTGGGAGATGGAAGAATGCAAGAAAAGAAGTTAAGTGTTAAAGGTTCGGATGGTATACTTACTCGCATAGCGCGGTAGTATTGCTCATGATGCGGGTCTTGTGGGTTTAGACCCAATGCATGCATGAATTCCTCTTTGGATACTCGAGGTCCGACGGGCATTTTGTTGGATTCCTCGATTGGATCGAGTGTATTGAATAGGGGTGTCAGTGTGTAGAGCGCTGTATATGCTGTGATTGATCTCAGACAGAAACCGAGGTTGTATATCAGCCGTGAAATCAAGACCGAAGAAAGAAAAAGGGTCAATGAATATGAATGTGAATGCAAAACTGAAGAAGCATACTCACAGCCCGCATAAAAGCCAGACTTTATATCCCCGAGTCTCTCCCATTCAAACAGATCTCAACGGCGCGGAAACCCATATAACGGCCGTTGGCTACAAATTTCACGGCGCCGAAGCCGATACAATCAGAGACGCCTATACCGGAATGAAGCAGAGCGAACGGACAGCGCGAGACAGAGACAGAAACAGACGCAATCAGACCAAGCGGGGAAATGGGGAAATGGGCAAACCCGCAATCAGATCTATATAACACAAGCACAAGGATCCGAAGCAACAGGGATCTAACGAGCTTCGAGGCTAAGACATCTCTTACCTCCAGATAAAGATTATTATTGTTTCTTTTGTGCATGCATGACCAACGAAGGGAACGATAAAAGATGGAGGACACGAGTCCAGTGTTGCAGGTGAGGTATTTTCTTGCTGTTTTGGGGTTTTTTTGTCCTGGCGCTTACGATTCTCTTTCCGGGATTAGACGCTACTGTACTTCTTGCAGGATTCGTGGAGTCAAGGTGGTACATGTACAATGTGCGTGTGGGCGATCACTGCACACCCGTTGATATCCAACCCCGGACTACATCAAACTGCGATCCGGGCTGGGGTATGTTCATTTTTAGTGGTTTTGCGTGTGCAGGGTAGGTAAACGGCTGGGAGCTAGTGGAATCTAAGGGATAGGGCTACGGCGCTGTGGTACAGTCTTTCTCGGTGAGAAGTAGGCTGGGGGCATGAAGTTCCGATATGGCAAACGAGAGCGTCTGTAATTTACAGAGGCAAAACAGGGAGAAAACTAGAAAAGGAGAGGGAGGTAGGACAAAGCCTACTATTCTTGCTCTCTGCCACTCGCTCGTCTCCTCGAGAAGACATATTTGCGGGCCAGGGTGAGAAGTCGAATAAAGCGAGACAATCGCAAACAGAGGTATCGTGCACCCAGCACTTAGGGGTGGAGGACTGAGCGCGAAGAGCGCATTCTGATATATCGAGGGCGACTTGCTGAGCTCAGGACTGCTATCCGAGACAGGCGGGTAGAAGATATATGTGTGCTTGCATGCATGAGAAAGGGGCGTGTCTTCGAGGTCAGTTTGGATGTTGTATAATGCCCGGAGTACACACTACCGGATGCACGCCGAGGTCCCCATCCGAACTAGTAACAGGTAGATACTCGATAGGGAGAGCTAGTATCTCTGTGTGTTAATCTCGTTGCCACACACCTGTACGCATCCGCAGTCAGGGAGGGAGACCAATACAGCTCTGGCATAACAGAACCAGATCTGGAAAACCACATTCGCAACCTAGAACGTCCACTATGTGGAAAGGGTTAGGAGAAACAGACTGTACATCCCGAACTCGGCATCGAGGCCCACTGAAACCCAACCCAGCAGCAAGCGAAACATTCAGTCACCCTTGCTAGCGGGAAATAAAGCCAAATAAGGCACCTGTGCCTACCCGTCGGCTTGCGGGCATCCTGCAGAAAACCAAAAGGCTCGTTGGCTATGTCGTGTGACCTACTAGACCGGAATCCAGGCCAGTATTCAATTCAGCAGAGATTCAACAGACCGGAACCCAAATCGGTGCTGTTGCTTGCATTTGCATCAGTTTTCGAATTTTCAATGGTGGGCGCGTACTTGCGTCCCGTTGCGGGGAAAGGGAATCCGGTTGGGAGATGGCTTGACTCAATTTCAATTTTCCTCGTTTGTGATGGGTGCATATGCAATGGGAGGATGGTTGAATTGGACGAGCAACGTGGCAACAAGTACGGCAGATTGATGTTTGAATTTGGATCTATCGTTTTGGGCGGACTTTGATCGAAATAGTGTCTTTATAACTCGATACGGTTGAAGATGCCGTTGCGGCTGCTATATGTGCCGAAAGCTAGTTTGGCAAGATGGCGACAAGAGCAAATCGATATATCATAAAGAGAAAAGCGACACGTAATTTTCGACAGGAGGTCCTAGCGTCCAATCTCCAGCTCGACGGAGCTTTTCCTGGTTGGCGCTGCGATTAATGAACGGATGTCACATTGTGCACAAGGCGAGGGACAGTCAAGGCGGATCATCTGCGCAAGGCGATTTGAATGACACTGCATAATCCTGCCGCTGCATTGCATACTAGGACAGAATTTGAGAGATCGAGCTTTGGTCAGTACGGCCAGGCCAAGGAGATAGATAGATATGAGGAGTATCCGCATCTGCATCTGCCATGCTAAATCGTGACGTGAGATATGAAGAACTTTCCCTAGCCCAGAGAACTCTAGCTAGTCAAACCAGTCAAATTTCAGTTCCAGCAATATTTGAGCGTGCCGTTAAATGTCACCGGCGTTGCACCATCTCCATACTGCAGGTCCCCGGTACTCGTTTACCATTCGCTATTGGCCATGCAAGAGCGGATGCAGACGCTAATACGGCAGGATTTTCTGTCAGTTGGAGTGTATAGTGGAAGATATGATATTTGTTTTGCACATACTAATGTAAAGTGCAGCATCCGGGAATCGGGGCTTGTGAAGCACACACGCCTGAAATTTTGACTCAATCGAATTTCACCAGTTGATAGTTTCTATCTCGAACAGATAGACAGCCAAGTGAAAAATATGAGAAATAGTAAGAGTGAAAAGACCTCTGAATGCAATAGCAGATTAGTACCTGTCAAGACCGTTAGGTCCCGCATGGGGCAAAGTATATATTAAGTTCGGTTGAGTCAAGCTTATTCCCCAGGGGGTCCCCACGTAAGTGGCTGAAGGTAAAAAGCTTTTTATAGCGCCACCTTCTCGGGATGCTTGGGAGGTTGGCGATCAGATTAGGGAAAGTTCTCCCTATATCTGGTAATATCTGAGCTTGCTTAATATTCAGGTACTTTTGTTGACCTTGCCCAGACTTTGACGTCATGTTATATCGGCTACTTTCTCGCGTTACACGTACCTCGATACTGACGCAATGCCTACTAAGTGATGATCCAGGAAATGGAAAGCGTTTATAAAGCATGAAAACAGGGCCTGACAGAGGCACTCGGATTTCCATATGTCGCTATTGTTCAAGACTCCTCGGAATCGTCACGATTCTCGCGCCTGCACTTACGTGACAGACCAGGAATATCCGTTTCCACAGTGTCCGGACGGGAAGGGGAGATGTGGTGGGGGAGGTTGTTATGTACGTATCAAGAAAAGCCAGGATCGGGGTGGATGGGAGATAAGAGAAAGGGAGTAAAAAAGGGCAAAGGGGGAAATGAAAAAGAAAAAGCCATTTGCCATGCTCCATCCGTCGCTAAAAAGAAAAAGGGGAGGGAGTGATATCAACCAGCCCGCATGGCCGCTCATTTCGAGGCTTCCTTAGTGGTCTCCTTGGTGGTCTCCTTGGACTCCTTGGTCTCCTGGGTCTCCTTGGCCTCCTTCTTGGGCTCTTCCTTGGGCTTCTCTTCCTTCTTCTGCTCCTTGACTTCCTCTTCTTCTGGCTTCTCTTCTTCGTCCTTCACCTCCTCGCCGTAGTATCGGCGAAGGAGCTTCTCAACCTTGCGGTATTCGACCTTGACTTCATCCAGGGTCTTTTTGATGGCCTTGAGGCAGACCTCCGTGTCGGGTTCGTCAATGAGACCTGTCTCGTCCTTGTTGGCGCCGAAGTGTTGGATCTTCTCGCAGCCATCCTTGACCTTGATAAGGCCGAGTGTGGCCGATGAGCCCTTGAGGAAGTGACCGAGGGCAGAGAGTTCATCGAGGTTCTTGTCATCTCTGTTGGATGATTAGTAAAAAAGGACCATCACCCGAATTCCTGCAGGAAATATGACTCACATTTCCTTCTGTATCTTTTTGAAGGTATTCTCGGCCTGGTCAAAGAACCCGTACACAATGCTTTTGCTGAAATCGCGATCCTCCTCGTCATCATCCATCTCAAGAATCTGTTCGAATGTGCTCTCGTCAAGAATTTCCTTATAATCAGAAAGCTTGGGCGGGCCCTGCTTGACCTAGATTCGAATGTCAGGCCGATGAGCCTTTGTTGATGGAGCAAGAAGCACTTACCGGCTCGGCCTTTTTGGTATCGGTTGGTGCCATAGCTATGTGTGTGTGTGTATGGAGGTGCTCAAAGGAGTAGGTGGGAGCAAGCTAGTACGCTGCGCAGATCGTCACAATCGTTGGATGGAAATGGGGTTGATTTCTCCGGTCTGATTTCAGCCAATCCAGATAGAATACGAAGGGACTCTGTTTGCAAATCCCAGTCAGCTCAGATTCATCCAACAGATCCAGATTTTGGATAGATAGAACAACGTGGCAAATCAATAGATGAGGTCCCAAATGCAAAAATCAATGATACAACAAGGACGTCAGAATCGCAAGATCTGCACGCAGCGCATATGTCGTCTTACAAATCCAGCAGGGTGTTACGGATCCAGGTACCAAGATAGCAAGGGAGCTGCTAGCGGGGAGAATGGTGGGCGGCTCTGGTGTCTATGGCCA